CAAGATAATGCTCTGTTAGTGTGACGTCACATATTTAGGTAACACGCAACAAATTGTCATAGTTGAAATTGAACAGAACAAATATTGTGTACAATTTAGGTACATAGATACATACTATAAAAATGAACAACTTCAAAATAATTTATTTTTACAAGGATTCAGAAGTATTTAAGAAAATAGAAAGACTAATGTGCTTAAAACTTAAAAGAACGATATAAAAGAATATTCATAAATTTAAATAAAGTAAAAAGTAAATCTGTGGTATTTGGGGCAAACGCGATAATTCCAAAAATATCGTTTTTCAGAAAACGTATTTAAAGATTCAAATGATGTTCAACAAAGTTGAAATTTTTGTAACATATCGTGTTCACATTACAAAATAGCGGGCTTGTTAGTAATGTTGGAATTATCAGTTATACCAAATACAAATTTTGAAAAAATCATGTGGGACTGTGGAGTTAACAGAAAATGTGCATTATTGGAGTTATCATACGTGTTCCAAACACCACAGAAAAACGTGCTATTCCTAATGCGCATGCTCGGAAAGAATAGCCTCATACGCATGTGAGATCTTATTGATATGTCATCGCTGTCATCATTAGCGCAATCTTTTCTTTTGTTTAATCTTCGCATTGATAAATAACCCCCAAAGGTTTATTGTATGTAAACTTTCTTCTTTACCTTGAATGTATATATATTTTCCCATTCATACTGGCTTAAACTTCCCTAATAATTGAAAGTCCAAATTCAAATAGAGAGAGATGCACTAACCAAATTTGTACAGGACATAGCTAATACCTTCGACGTGAAACATCGAAACATCGCCTTAATCCTTAATGTTAAAAATGATGTCACCGCCGTTCTTGGTGTCGAAAATTCGAAATATTTGGAATTATTCAAATTTTGTGACTGAAAACATACATAGGTATTGCGTTTTGAAACCGAGAGAGTTGCACGAATCTAAATTTGTACAGGACTTTGCTAATAGAATGCGAAACATCGCCATAATGTTAAAAATGTCACCGCCGTTCTTGGTTGTGAACATTCGAAATATTTGGAATTATTCAAATTTCGTGGCTGAAAACGTACATAGGTATTGTATTTTTGAAACCGAGAGAGTTGGACGAAACTAAATTTGTACTGAACATAGCTAATACGATGCGAAACATCGCCACAATGTTAAAAATGTTGTGACCGCCGTTTCTGGTGGTGAAAATTCGAAATATTTGGAATTATTCAATTTCCATGGCTGAAACCATACATTGGTATTGTATTATTGATGATGAAAATGCGAAACATCGCACACAAATCTGACTCGAAATCAGAAAGCCGGTGCAAGTTCATGAAATTTGATTTCAATATAGCCTAAACTCTGATAGATAATTCTACCTGAAGGAGAATAATTTCCCGGAAGTTCTCCCGTAGTTAGATATTTTCTCTTATTTAAACTTAGCAATTTGGCCCCATTTGGACGTCTGGAAGCTCGAAATTGATCGAAATACCAAATATTTGACACTTCGCTTGATTTTACATTTTTACTCGGAGTTTAAAAACAAACAAGAACAAGCATCTTACACTGACTAAATATTTTTATTTTCAGACTTTTCTTAATAACATTTTGCCATATCTCTTACAAAAAAGGCACTTTACTAGTGAAAAAATCTTAAAATCTAGTAAAAAACCAAAATTGAAATTTTGCACCAACACGCCATTTTGAGAAACTTCTTTGTATAAAGTCTACTTACTTTTACCGAGGCGCACGCCATTATTCTATGGCTAGAAATTGGCCTCAATGATTTGGGATCGAGGGGGATTATCCCTCTTTATCCTGCCTCATCTCGTGTAGGCCTGGACAGCCTTCGTAGGTGGGCCCCATCCGTCGTCTACCCCGACCGCAAATGCGGCCGGTGTAGGCGCTTTGTGGGACCTCCTTTTGTCCTGGCTGAGCCCCGCCGGCTAGGGCCCTTTCTTCAGGTTCTCTTGAATTTCCGGGTTATTTCCAGGGTTACTGAGTTTTACGGATTTCATGTCAGATTTTGTTTCACAAACATAAGTAGGTCATTTCTCAACACCAACTTTTTTGTATATTATAAAAGTGGCTTCACGCATCGGAGGACTTATGTTTATTGACTTCTACAGTTTTAGACAAAATACCAGTGTATTTTTACCCCTCTCGCCCCTACTCATTAATGTACGTTCAATTAAAACACCAATTTTTCTACGAAAATCGTTGAAATCGTACTTTGAAATTAATGAAAAATCAAAATGTGTCTGATATTTAAAAAAATGATGGCACCTTTTCTTCTAAGAACAGATAAGTAGCTTTGAGCCAGACAACGACAAATACTAATAAAGCTATTTCATTTTTTTTAAGTAAAAGTTGTGACTAATTTCAGCAAACATATGGGCCGGATCTCATGGTGAAATCACACAGAATAAACAGGTTATGACGTAATTTGTCTACAATACTCTGATAAGGGCTTTTAGGAGTTCCTTCAAAATTTAAAACAAAACTGTTTATTATTATTCCATGTCACTGATAATGCAATCGTTATTTACTCCGGAAAAAACTCGAATCACTGCTGCTTGATTTTCAAGCTATGTAAAACAAAAACGACGTAAATTAAGCTAGAACCAATCAATTTAGTTTGGACAGAAAGATATCCGTATCAGAGGTAAATTTTCCTAAAAGAAAAGATACTAATTTATCGTTGGTACATATTTGAGTTGATAAAATGTTCAATACAGTAACGATCGATTACAAGCTAACATTAAGAGATAGTTGGGCCACTATTTTCTGGTCCTCCTAATAAACCTTTTTAAAATGCTCTGCATGGCGTAAGTAAGATGTTATGAAATAAATCCTTCAATAATTACATTATAATCGACATTTTAATCGGATTTACAGCCACAAGTAACCAAGAAGTGGAATATCAAAGAAAAAGAAAATAGTAGGTATATAGGATTAAAACAAAGGATAAATTGACAAAAATTGTTAAAAAACTACTACTTTATTTTATGGGGAATTTAATTCTAAAACTTTTAGAATTAAATTTCCTTATTTTATAATAAAGTACCTACTTATTAAAATTTAAAAAATTCTGTCACATGTTACTTAATGGTGCATCATGCCTTATCAACCCTTTAAAATGCTTGAATTGAACACACAATGGTACACTCACGCCGTGTACCAAATTTAGTTCTTCTAAGTTCAAATATAACTGAGATATTGATTTTTTTCGAAATTTGATGTTTTTTTAAACATTCTGTATTATTTCTTCAGATGCTAAAGCCTCTGCATGTGTTATATTTTTCTTAGAAATACAAATATCTAAGAACTGGTTACTTTATTGGTATCTAAAAATAATGTTGTATCACAACATACTTGTGTTCTTCGTCTTCGTAATATTGAATAATCTATACGGCAAATCTTATTCTTATATATTGCAGAAGGTGACTCATTTACCTATCCGATTTGGGAAATGTTGTATGGACCACAGTGGACAGAAATATGTACCATCGAATACACTTTTACAAAATTATCGTAAAAATGATAAAAGTATATGTAATAGCAAATAAAAAAAAATAAATAAAGATAAAAGGTACATTAAAACAGATAATAAATACAGAGAACGCATTCAGAACTTACGCAAATCATTGATTTTCCCGTCAAACCAAAATTTTCCACGCGCGCATAACTTTTAACCCCCTTCCCCAAAGACTATCCCTTTAGTAAGATATTCATCATTTTCAAGAAACATATCTGAGATTCGATTTCTGCAAACTCATCGTGATCTCAAAGTACTTTTTACTGTTTGTACCCCGTACAACAGACCTAAAGGTTACTGAACTCGGCCAAAATATTTCTTCTATGAACCCGGTAACATAACAATCGACTAACAATGGAATCTCTACACGAAGGAGCATATGGTTCATATCGATTGGGCAACAAGAAAAAAAAGAACTGGACGCGTCCGTAACGGGATATCCAGCATGCAAAACATAGGAATCAGATACAGGAAGATGATGATCTACCAAACAAGAAAACTTATGATTTTACAGTAGAATTCAACCTCGAATTCAACTTTTCTTTGGGTAAATCAAATCTTTTATTGTCCAAATAAAATTTAAGGCCTAAATTAAAAACTGGTAACATTATACTACATATAATATACATTGTAACAGTTTGATGGGAATTTAATTGAATAAAATCCCAATTATTTCTAATCTTGATAATAGTACAACTTGAAATTATTTTCAAACAGAGGTAGGTAGGTAGGTATTTATAACTTTCTACCTGTCAACAAATCTTCATCAAAGAAAACACCATAACTTTTCTAGATTTAATTCATATAATTTAGTTAAACCCTTAAAGAGCCCCAATAAGAAGTAGAATTTAATTAAAATATACCTGAGCTATGAAATAAAGCGATATTAATGTATTACTAGTTTATTATCACTGTAATAAATAAAACATTACACCTATGTTTTCGTTTTCGTCACGTCAGCTAAACATTCCCAACTAACGACCTTTTGCTTGGATGTAAATTAATCCGCGATTTTTCTCTAGTTGTCAACACTTGACAAGAGGAAACAAAGAACGCGGAGATTAAAAGACACTGCAAATCCTTATGCAAACATCCACAGGTAGCCGATAAGGTTAGTTACCTTTTAAATGACATTTTGTATTTTGTTTATATCGGATAACTACGCTCACCGGGTATTTAAATTCTATTAAAACTATTACCAAGGATAAGCCTGTGATGCGGGAAACCCTCTACAAAATTCCTGCGTGGGCTGGTAAAAGGAAAAGTACGATTTTTTTATTTCGTTTGTTGTACACATGACCAACTGTGTTTTTACAACAAAAATTATGAATGACTTCGTCTGACTCCGGAAACGAAAAAGTGTGACATTCTACGAGTTACCTAATAAACTACGTAACTGCATAATTTGCGAGTATAACTAAATTCTACAGAGATAAAAAAAACACTACTTACATTTTCCTGTTCTGGTGTCAGAGCAGCGGCCATTACAGTTCCACACGTACACTCCACACAGCACACAAGAGAAAACTGAACGACGTAAACACGCTTCCATTCGCGATCCCGCAGCGCAGAAAAGACCGCGTTACAAGATGCAAAAAGCGGCAAAATTTTGATCGCCCCGGAACAATGTAGATTTTCTTTATAAGATTTTCTCATTAATTACACTCTGTTATTATTTCATGTAAATGGGAAACATTTGCGACATTTTTAATTGCTTCAGTAGACCTTGGGTGGATCGTTTTTAATTTAGAATTGCAATTAGGTATTAGCATGAACAATAACGTTGACTAACCACTATCTCATTTGTAATTTTTTAATTGTTGCTGTTATACTTAGGTAGTCCTTAAAATTCGAAGAAGTGGGTATACCTACTTAAAACTTGCTTTCAAAAATCATGCCATGCAGATATTTCCATACAATCTGAATTTTTATATTTGTTTAAAAGTGTATTTCTGGTTCTGGATATATTCAGATTATTTAAATTTATTTTACCCCTGTTATTAACATATCAAAGTTATGCAATTTAGTTAACTCAAGTCTGTATTAATAGTTGCCTGTTTTCTTAATCTAATTGGAAAGGTAATCCCTAAATTAAATTAAACAAACATTAATAATTGGTATTCAAAATTATATTTGGGTCATAGATAAGAATTTAAACTCTTTGTCCAAAAAGTACTTGTATCAGCAGGTAATAATCTTTGTTTTACGATTTATAAACAAGGTTAGTTAATTCGGATTAGTTTAGGCTTGTTAAGGTGGTAGCAGTGCCGCACCACACCATTGTAATAAATATGTCGGACGTAAGAGGTACAGGTAAACTTCAGAGAAAATTTTGCGAGCAGCAGACGTAGTCGTTGTGAATTTTTGTAACTTTTCGTTGGTGCTTTATGTAGTTCTGGTGATAAATAATGAATGAATTGAATAACGTCGAGGTAAAGACCGTCCAACACTCGATCCCAACGGATATATTGGATGACCTCTTAACGTAAGTAATGGAGGTTTCTAAAATTGTCTTGTTTATTGTTTATGTTTTCGTAATGTAAATATACGTCGTTTTGTAGGAGATTTCTGATATTTGTGCCAGAATCCGCCAAGCAGAACTTGATACGAATTTGTTTCCAAATAGAGTTGGCCCATTGGTTTTACTTGGATTTTTATGTAGGGAATGACAAACGCCTTAAGGCTTGTACTATTTATGAATTTGCTGCCCATGTCTTTCAGGTGAGTTTGTCCTAAATTTAGAAAGTAATTTCGAGTTTATCTATATTAATCACAGTATTTTTATTTTTGTTATGATTTGTATTGTTTGTAAACAAAAACTCACAACAAAATGAATTTTGCAAGGTTGTTGAAATAATGCCCATAAATACTGAGTGGATTTTTTTTATAATGGTGATAATTGATGAGTTTGAAGACAAATATTTTTTATTCAAAGTAGATTTATCAAACAATGAAATCACGCTTTATCTTATCTTCTATTCATGTAACAAAAACGTCAAAAATATTGGTTTTATTGATCCTTAATTGATCTACAGCACATCCCATTCCTCCAACGGGAGAGCCACAAACTAAAACAAATCCTCAAAGAATGGAAGGAGTACAAGCATAGCGTGCCGACATACGGCGCAATAATTCTTTCAGAAAACATGTCGCATGTCCTTCTCGTCCAGAGTTACTGGGCAAAGTCTTCTTGGGGTTTCCCCAAGGGTAAAGTAAATGAGGAGGAGGATCCCGCTCACTGCGCCGTTCGAGAAGTTCTCGAAGAGACTGGCTTTGATATAAGCAACAACATCAACCCCGATGAGTACCTAGAGGCTGTAATAAACGAACAACTCGTCAGACTGTACATTATAAAGAACGTACCGTTGGCAACGCAGTTCTGCCCCAAGACCCGATGCGAGATCAAATCTTGCAGTTGGTTCGCTGTCTCTGACCTACCCACGAGCAAAAAGGACAGCGCCTCGAAGGCTAAGATGGGCATCAACCCGAACGCCTTCTTCATGGTCCTTCCGTTCGTCAAACGCCTCAAGCAGATCTGCACGACGGAGCACAAACGTAATAGGTACAAGCGTTTCATTTCTGTTGTGAGGAAAAAGGAGGTAAAAGTTTATTAGATTTGGTAGACGACTTTTTGAGGTTTTTATACAAAGTAGGGAAATACCCTTAAAGACAGCGTTTGTTTGTGTGTAAAAAGGTTAAAAATGCTTCAACATGTGTCATTTAATCTTTCATGTTCTCATCAGGTTTTCTCAGTTAATTTTTTTTATATCTATGTCATATAAAAAAACTTAATTTGACCTAACCTAACTTTATGTGCAAATCTATCTATGTACCTCTATGAACTTAGGTTAGGATGTTTTTTTTTTTTCAGAAAAGAAAATATAACAACCTAACCTAATTTTATTTAGAAATACATCTGTCACTATAAAGTTAGGTTAGGGCAAGATAACATTTTGTTCAGGAAAAATACATAAAAAACTTAACCTGATCTGATGTAACCTAACTTTTGGATGATTCTATCTAAGTAAAGTTAGGTTAGATCAGTATAAGGCTGTCTCCAAAAAAAAATTCATAACATAACCTAACTTTATGTAGAGTCTCTATAAAGCTAGGTTATGTCATAAGTTTTTTCTTCCTAACTTTATGTATACAAATATGTACATTTGATTTGTATCTCATTTGGCTTACTAATATACATATTACCCAATTTGAAAATATTAATTTATCTCAAGGTGCAATTTTAATTGTGAGTAAGTCTTTTACAGGAGGTAACTAAAATACTTGACCAAACGTTAATTGCAGTTTCTACATTACAAATTAACAAAAAAAAAACTCTTACAAACATGTTTCTGATATAAGAGGTTTTCAAGGTTAAGAAAGATATATGATGTATTTCATTCGTAGATTCACAACTTATTAAAAAGAAAAAAATCATGGGATATATAATGGATCTATACAAATACCACAAAAAACTAAAATAATTTAGCTGGGTATTAAATAACTAAAGTTTTACCATAATTATTTTATTTTAGAGAATTGCTTTTATTATTTTTAATTCTTGCTATTGTTAAATGTTAATTTGTCATGGTTTCTCATAAATTCGGTAATTTTGCCTTACTATTTTGAAAACTTTTAAGGCGGATGTAAACAATAAACCACGGTAATAAGAGCTCTATGAACACCACGATAATACTCTATAAATAGGCATTTGCAAGCCATCTGCAGGAGTCCGTACAAAAAACTTGGTATTTTGGCAATTGCACTACAGTCCAGTTATACAGGTTGTCGCACCGGGAACTGCGTCGATCGATATCTAGGAAAGTACTGCTCCGTAAAATTTGAAAAAATCGACACCACCTTCGTTATTTTAAATGAAACACCCTATATATTATTGCATTTTCGCATTCTATGTGAAATTTGATTGTCACTTTATTAAATATTCCCTATACCTAGGAGTTATAGATTTTGAGATATTAATTTTTAAAGAAAAAATTTGACAGATGCAAGGGTCCGCGGAGATGCTAACTCTTTTTACGAGTGTGATGCCAAGTGGATTTTTGATACCTGTAAAGGGCATAGGTAACACTACATTATGGTGTACCAACAAATTAAAACATTTAATACTAGGTGTTTCATTTTTGCATTTTGATAACTTCAAACAGCTATAACTTTGTTAACTTAAAAGGAACACTATATTTTTTTAGTCTGTCGTATGCATATTGAAATTTCCTTTCAAGCCATATAAGCATTGTTAGGGTTGCCGTTACTACTTTTAGAGGTATTTGCAATTTTCTATTTTTTGGGCAGTTTTTCTCGTAACAGATCTGTTGTCAAATTGGCCATGACCAGAAACACTCCAAAAACAATTGAAATAACATGACTACTCAAGCTAGTTGTCAAATTATTATTGTGTCTGAATAGTTTTGCCGAAAATTTAAATAAAACTGCCTGAGGATCGTTTAAATTATACTAATGAGAATTATTTTAATTCGTTTGTTATTTATGGAATATGTGACAAAGTCATTACAAGACATGTTGAGAATCTGCTCCGTTTTTGGAAATGTGACAAAGTAATTTCAAGAACATGTAGAAAATCTACTGCTTTTTTCCATAAATAATAAACAAATTAAAATAATCCTCATAAGTATAATTTAAACGATACTCACGCATTTTTATTTAAATTTTCAGCAAAAACTATTGCAGACATGACAATAATTTGACAACTAACTTGACAAATGTCAAATTATTTTAATTGTTTTGGAGTGTTTATGGTCATGGCCAATTTGACAACAGGTCTGATACGAGAAAAACTGTCCAAAAAATAAAAAATTGTAAATATCTCTAAAAGTAGTAATGGCAACTCTAACAATGGCCCTAACGTGGCTTGAAAGGAAATTTCAATCTGCATATGGCAGAGTAAAAAAATATAGGGTGTTCCACGTAAGTTAACAAAGTTATAGCTGTTTGAAGTTATCAAAATGTAACAACAAAAATGAAATACTTAATATTAAATGTTTTAATTTGTTGGTATACCTTAATTTAACGTTACCTATGTCCTTTACAGGTACCAAAAATCCGCTTGATATCATGCTCTTGAAAAGAGTTACTAGCATCTCCGCGGACCCTGCATCTGTAAAATTATTTCTTTAAAAATTAATATCTCAAAATCTATTACTTCTAGGTGTAGGGAATATTTAATAAAGTGACCCTCAAATTTCACGTAGAATCCGAAAATGCAATAATATATAGGGTGTCCCATTTAAAATAACGAAGTTGGTGTTGACTTCCGGTATAACCGGAAGTGCTGGAGAGTTCTAGATATTTTAGTTGTGTTCGACCCAGGGACATTGCCATGTTGACAAATTTTCAAATTTTTTGGAGCAGTACTTTCCTCGATATCGCTCGACGCAGTTCCCGGTGGAACACCCCGTATAGTACTTTTAACTCCTAACAACTTTTTTTCTCGAAATCATAAATATTTTGTTACAACTTTGTGATAAATTCAATTTTTAATGGTGCATATATCGACAAAGTTTTTTGAATAAGTTGTGTCACAGCCAAATTTTTTATTACAGAATTTTTTTCTTAAACTTTTACACCCATAATGGAAACAAAATCTTTACATGTGCATGTTTATAGGAACATTTTTGTTGATTTGTGACAGATTTCATAGTAAAGTTTAACCAAGTAATTTAGTTACAATACATACACGGTGTTCAGTTACTAAGGGGGAGGGGGGGGGGGGGGTGAGTTAGTTTGACTAAAATTTTGGCGAAAAATTATGTGTTTACATGATACAGGGTGTACTTTGACCAGAGAAATAATATTTACTGATTTTGTATAGCTCGGTACATGAAAGAAAAATTGAAGTAAAAAGTAATGTAGATTTTTGTTTGAATTATTTTACTGTTGATTTTATTTCATTATGGAAATCTAAATTCAGTCAAAATTAATTAATGCTATTAAAATTAGCCAAAATTTCTACGATTTTTAAGTTTTGGTGATTAAAGTAATACCATTTTCTTTACTGAACGAAATATCCCTCAGTATATCTAAATTGTTTTTATTTGGTATTCAAATACCTGAAAATTGTTTGAAGATTTTTTTTTCTTAGATCATAAAAAGAATGTGCTTTGGAAAATTGTTCAAATAAGTATATCTGAAAAATCTGGAAATATCAAATCAAATTTACTGACCAAAATATGTTATACGCCCTACATATCATTTTTCTGTTGATTTTTATGTATAAAAGAATGTTATTTAAAATTTCATGGTTTTTGTGTTATGTTTTGGCCTATACAGGGTGTTTGTAAATAATTGCGAAATATTTTAGGGTGTGGTTGCCGAAGTTATTTTGTGAAAAAAGTTCATATAAATGTAGGTCGAAATATGCTGCGTTTCCGAGATACAGTGTTTAAATTTTAATTTTTTATTTATTTTTATTAATTATTTCAAAGAGTCTTAAAGATATTGACTGGAAATTTAATGCTAAAAATATCAAAACGGGAAAATTAAAATTATTATTAAAATAGGTTCTGGCATTCTCGCATGAACGCCACTGGTGCAAGTAGAAATATTCGGATCACCCCAAAAAATGCACATTTATACCTCCAAAGCGTTTTTCAAATTTCAAGTCTTTAAAACAGAAATAATTAATAAAAATAAATAAAAAATTAAAATTTAAACACTACATTTATATGAACTTTTTTTCACAAAATAACTTCAGCAACCAAACCCTAAAACATTTCGCACTTATTACTTAGCCTTAGCTGGGAATCTTAGGCATGCCTTTGTTGTTCTTGGGTTAAGGTCCGTGGGGGCGGATCTTCTATCAGAACCCCTAGACCCACCGTGATGTTGATTTCGGTTCTTATTGTTCTAAACCCACTATAATAGAACCGCTTTCCAGGAGATGGTGAAAATAACACCCTGTAATTCGAAAATGAAACATTTTTGACAGAAGTCCAGTTTTCTTAATTTTGATTATAGAATCTGCTGGAGACGTTTGGCCAATACGTAACTTAAAGCCCTGAAAACGCGAGTACTGTCGGTTTTTTTGAAAAAAATACTGTTTCAGCAAAAAGTCTTCTACTGAACATTTACAGGAAACGGTACTAACAATCCTCTAAGCCTAGGTCTACCCAGAAGGCGGACGTGGACGACACAAAACCCGTCAGAAAGAAGCAGGACAAGAAGCAAGCCACTCGACGGGAACTGTTTCCAGAACAGGATAATAACGGAAGCCAGTTCTGCGCGCCGTCCTGGTTGAATTTCAAATTCAACAGGTTCGCCATCATGGAGTGTGTGCCGTGAACGCACGTCCTATCAACTTAGAACCTTGAGGTACGTCTAATAAATTATTGCAAATAGAATATTTTGATACGCTGTACGTTTACGGAAGATGAAGATTGCAAGTGCAAGACAAATCATTTATTTTCCAATCCGGGTAGTCTAGATTTAAACTTTTGTTATATTAACACGTCGACTCCCGGGAACGCCTTTTTTATAGAGGTTATTCATGTTTCGAGCTGTCGAAACTCTTATGGATCGCGGTCGGCAACAATATTATCTAAAAATGTTGTCGCCGCTCCTCCTGGATAATTTCGTTTTTGGCCGCTGATGTTCAGCGGGTCCGAATTTTCATTTTCTTTAAACTTTAAGGCTGGGCTCACACAGCTAGAGTGTTCTTCTTCTTCTTCTAATAGTAGTTCTGTGGTTGGGGAAGGGATTTTTGAAATTAACTTGTTTAGTTTCGTTTTATATAAAATTGTTCTTGGGTATTTGCACGGTTGTCGTCCGTGATCAAAATTATCGCATTTCTAAAAATGGGATCTAACCTCAAAGTTGATTTTCTTACGAATTGCTGAACTGATTTAATTTTTTTTAATTGTTGATTTATTTCTCTATAAAGAGACTAAGATATCAATTTTTACTGGAATTTCGGTTTTCAGTATATACAGGGTGTTCAGGAAATGAATGGAGATCTTCCAGATATGGGTAGGCCCTGTAGAGTTTAGCTGTTGACATTGAGAGTTGAAAATTTATTTTTTGTTACAATTTTTTTGTTTCTCATTAAATTTGGATTGTTGTTGGGTAAAAGCTATGTTATTTGAAGCGATTTACCGATTAACTTCAAAGGTCCAAGGGAAAAGTGCCCTTAGCAGATTTGGCTTCCAATAAAATTTATAAGTAATTTTTGTTGCCCTCTTTCAGTGAAAATGTGACATGTTGGTATCGTTACAACAAACTTTTTTCGAGGTAGACGTTTAACGATAAATATTCTTTATTGTCTTTGACATTTTATTGTAAAAAATACCTGAAAACAACAATTGGTTTGCAGAAATTACTAATTTTTGTTTTCATTTAATTTTACTATGAAGCTGTCGAAAATAGTATGCAATCTTCACCATTTTGTTGTTGTTTATTTCGAAAATGGTTTGTTCTATCGATATCAAATAAATACACGATTTTCAATTATAAATATACGAAAATCTTAAAAATGACGATAAAAATGGGAGGCCAAAGCTACCGAAGGAGCTCTACCCCTCGTTTTCCAAAGCAGCTATCAGTAAATTGAATTCATTAGTAGAAGTTATTTCAAAAAACATAGTTTTTATGCAAAAATTCTAAAATATTACGAAAAAAAGTATAACAAAAAATATATACTCGACTAACTAAATTTTTTAATTCCAACAAAAAAAAAAAGTTCCATAAACTTGTGACATTATTTAAAATATGTAGAGTGCATCTGCTAATGTAGCGAACATCTTGACACAAACTGTAACCGTCTTAAAATTCATATCTTTATCTTTGTTCTTATTTGAGATGCGCAATAAAACTTAAACGCATCAGTTTATTGCAAAAATTTTAAAACTCGGACATAACAGTAAAAAAAAAATCGGGAACGGGAACCCAACGTTAATTTTTTCCTGATCGTGTGATTCCATGTTTCTCCGAGTATGTTTTTAGTGTCGTTAAGGGAGACAGGAACAGTTTGATGGTTTCTAAGTTGTCTACCCTTATTGCCACTGATTTTTTTATAACTGTTATTGCATTACATTAAATTATTAAATTGTTACAATAAACCAGTGTGTTTCAACTTAACTGCGTATCTCAATTAATAACAGAGATAATAACGTGAATCAAAAACAAAATACTCTTGATTCATACTTTGATACAGGGGTACATTTTTAGTAGTGCGGTAATTTTTTCCAGAAGTTTAATTTATTTTTTTTAAGTGTAAGGATATATTTTGTTCCTAAGTTTCTCTCTTTCTATGGTGAAGTCTAGACCTTAAAAATTTACCGGCGGTCTCAAGACAGGATTATTTGCAATAATTTCTAGCGACTTCTCACGATTGTTAACGAGGGATGAACGATTTTACGGAAACGGGCTTGTTTTGCGGTTTTGATTTAGGTTTATCTCTTTCTTGAAAGAAAAAAGCACAATTTTTAATTCTCCACTAATAGACGAATTGTATTTTGCTGTTCCTCTGTTTTTAATGTTTACCGTTACCATCGAGTTTTTATAACAGCTTGTAGACTGGGAAGATATTCTCTGACTTATATTTTTTCCAAGGAGATACATTTTCCCTTAGATCGTAGAGATTTTTATCTATTCTGGGTGTCGTCTTTCTGTGAGCGAACTTTGCTTCTCATGGTTTTCGTATTAAAAAGTAACACAGTTTAGGTAGATTACAAATTAATAGCGGTGATTACAACATGATATTTTCTCCGGAATTTATTTGCGAAGTATTCGGATTGATTTCTTTTAATTTTGAAGGTTGAAAAGTTCTAAAAGCAAAATTAGTTTTAACGAATGTTGCTTATAAATTCCGGAGTTTTTTAATTCTATCACGATTGGAATTTGACAGTTTTTCACAACATTAAGTTACGGAAAGTTTCTCTACGTTTTAACTCTACCAGTACTTGTATTTGTAATTGTTTCGTCACCATAATTTGGATGTGTACTTTATCCACTGATATTTTTTTCCTTACGTGTACCGATTTACGTGATATTTGCGGGAGCATATGCGGTACAGCAATTTGAGTCCCGTTATTTTTCAGTCATAATGCATATCGCGGACATCAATACGATCGTTTATTGTGCCAATACGTGCAATTTTGTTGTAAGAAACCATGTCTTTATTGTAGTTGCACATTTTTAGAGGCATTACTTAATGTTATTCAAATTATGAGTTAGTCATATTCAGCTTTATCGAGAAACGCTTTAATATGAATATTGTTATATGATTTACAGCATAAGTATGCATTTTATTAACTTGTAAACTGACTAAAAGTACAATAGGGAAGATCATTCAGTTTTTATGCTGTTGACAGTATTTTTTTATTTTTTTAATTGCCGTACTTTATTCGGACGTATGTTTTAGTCAGTAGAGTATTGTGTAGGTGATAAAGGCTGACTATTATTAAGTAATCTCACCTATTTATTTACATGTGTTTAAATTCTAAATTTGTTCAAAGGTTATCAAATAAATTTTATTTTATCAAGTGGCCTTGTAACTTTTTTTGGGTGATCCGTATTTTGTACAAACGTGTGACAGAAGAAACCGGACAGAATAGGTGAGTGCTTTACTAGGTGGGTAATAAATAAAAAAAAAACAGGAATTTTTAAAACAATTTGTATGCCCCACACGTTACATGGATACCGTGAAAATGACACTGTAAGCCGAAGGAAATGGGCCTCAGATTCCCCACGTAAACACGTTATTACTGTGGTGAGGCCACAATTTTATTGATTATTTTATTCTATTATTTTGATTTTTAATAAATGTAATAGGTAATTGAAAATTAGTTCAATTGTTTATTTTGGTTAATAGTGAAATAATAGGGATTTAAATATACGGTGTGAGAGCCAAAGAGTGACCGCAAAAATCGCCCGTTTTTTTTACAATTCGCAGAGAACTAAAGAAAATAGATAAAAATATGTTTTTGGTCTCAAATTACTCATCGTAAAAAATCAAGATGTGTACAGCTTTTAAGTTCTTGATACAATGAAAGATTTATTCTCATGACTGATATAAGCATGTTGAATTAGAAAATCCACCCTTAAGCGTGCTCAGGGGGTGGAATCATCCCCAAAAATAGAGAATATCAGAAATAATTCCAAAAAATATATATTAAGATAATTCACATGCTAATAGTTTTTATATCAATTGGTAATATTCAAATTCTTCATTTTTGGCATTTTTTTCAACCCCTAAGTAGGGGTGATTTTTAAAATCTTCAAAATACTAAAAGCTATGCTCATTTCAGTTTTTTATGACAAGTAATTTGCAACCAAAAACATATTTTTATGTATTTTTTTAAATTCTGCGAACTGTGAAAAAACGGGCGAAAATTACAGGATTTTTGCGGTCACTCTTTTACGGTGAGGCCAGGCCTCAGTTGCTTCATACGAGCTGCCACTGGTTGCTTTAAAAATGCAGTAAGTTCTCATTATGGTCCTGATCGCTGGCTCCCACAATTACGTGGTTGCATACGCAGTAGAGGCTATAGCAAGGTCATCAAATCCATCTTACAGTCTCGAAAAGTAGGGTAATAGAAAAGGCTTGGTACATGAACGTGAAAGTCAGGGTGGAACTGCATTAAAGACCTGTTATATAACATTTAAATCAAGAAACTTAATTGCTTCAGCATTTTTTATATGATACAGGAATTTACAGTGTACAGAGTACAGTGCAACCTCTTTAATCCGAACACCACATTGCCAGGCATTGTTCGGATTATCGAACATACTATAAACATTTGTACACAGTATATTATGTAAGTACATAACATGTATGTATGTATGTATGTATGTATGTATGTCGTGGTGGTGGTGGAAAATTGTTTCTCCATCGCGACACTTAGGCCTTATTAGGCCCCCCTGCACACCCCCCTTTCATTACTCGAGTACTTTTCTTCAAACCATCCTATTACTACACGGGTGGCTTGGTGGCAAAGTCTCGTACAATTTTTTATGTATGATAGCATGGTCTTGAGTTACAGAGATTTATTGCTCTATTCTCATTACCATTTTATCCGGGACCAGACACAGGCGGAAGGTGTTGAGCGACCCAGGTCTGGTAGGCTGCCACAGCCACATCCCGAGCCTGCCTTAGGTCACCCATCGCAGTTCCAGCCTGCGTCCGTGATGCTTACCTCGGCCGATCGAAATCTGTCGGCCAAGACACCCGGCTAGGCGGTGGTCCCCTGCAGTCACCCTATTCTCCGAACATGTGACTTTTTCCTATTTCCCAAACTCAAAAGGATACTCAGAGGACGTTTTGCAACAATAAATGAGATAAAGGCAAAATCGTAAGCCGTGCTCAGGACGATACCTAAAGAGACGTTCCATGGGATTAAATAAATACTTTTTGACAAAAATTAACAATCCCCGTTACTTTTTGATGAAACCTCATATTTTATTTTTTTTAAAGTTTCACATACTTTTTGTTCATTTTATTATAATTTTTTTTAATTTTTTTTCTTTGGAATATTTTTTAATTTGTTATATTTGTTTTATTTTTTGTCTTTTCTAGTAATTTTTTTTTCACAGAAGTGATTTGTAAATATTTTTTATTAGGACTGTAAGCATATATTTGCTTCAGACGCCATGCAAGAGTTGGAAAGGACACTATTATAAACATTCTAATGAAGAAATGTGGAAATCACTTGCTCATAAATTCTTTGTGCAACGGATTTATTATCACATGGTGTTTATTCAAAAAAAGTCTTACTAAATCACAACTTGGCAATCCAAGTATATAAAAAATATAAGGAAAACTGCATCATTCGTAACTCTTCAATTTCTCCAGCTGCATCGAGGAGCTTGGAAGAGATATAGTGCTTTTAAGGCGACACAGCCGTTCTTTAAAATCTCCCACTTCCGAATCGGGCATACACTTGGCCATGTGCTTCTCCAGGTACCGTTTGTAAAAGAACTGCTTCCCGCAATTCGGGCAACTGACGCACCCCTGCCTGTGCGAGTGCATGTGCTCCTTCAGCTGTTTTACAGTGTAGAACTCCGTATTACAAATTTTACATCCGTAAAGCCTCTGCAGCGAGTGTTTCAGAACGTGCTTGTCTAAACTGTGCTTTTCAGTGAACTCCTTCTGGCAGATATGGCAGACGTGCTTTCGGGGGTTGTGAATCCTCCTCATGTGCTGTTTTAAGCTCACTTCTGACTTTAGGACTTTTCCGCACTGTCCGCAAGGTTTCTGTATGCCTAGGTGTCTTCTGGAAGTGTGAACTTTCAAGATGCTGCGTGACTTGGTGGAGAAATCGCATTGTTTGCACTGGTAGGGCCTTGCCGAGCTGTGGTATGCGAGGTGACGGTTGAGGGACGATTGACAACTACTCTGCTTTCCACAGATGTGGCAAACGAGGCCTTTCTGGCCTTTGTGACGAGCCTTGATGTGTTTTTCGAGAGCTGCTTTGGATGTGTGGCTTAAGTTGCATTCGGTACACCTGAAATTAATGTAACTCTTAAGTTATACGATCCATAGCTCTTGAAAATTATTAAATTATTACCTATGAAGATCTGTATGTTTGTTGAGGTGAGCGGGCAGACTTTTCGGTAAAACCATTTTGTTACAGACTTGGCAGGCCACTTTGTGATTCGCGTCATGTTTGACTAATTGTTTTCTTTCCGAAAATACCTTCAAATATAGTAAAATTATTATTGTCAATATTCCTAGTGTATTATTCATATATTTTTTCTTTGTTTTCTAATTCTATAATTGTTTTGAACTGTTGGATAACATAAATAAACAAAAAATAAATAAAATCACCTGATCACACTTTGTACAAGAAAATACAAGCTGCCCGTTGTGTGTCTCTTGGTGATCCTGATATTCGAAAAAAGACTTGAATTGTTTGGGACAAATACTGCAAGCATATGTGTTGTCTCCCAGTATTCTCATCTAAAGCATTTAGTTTAGGAAAAAATTACAATACAAGAGATATACTTACACTTTCATCTATTTTTAAAACTTTAGTTTTCTGCGTTGAAGGTTTTTCCTTTGTTGATGACATGTCAGAGTCGGAAACTTCAATGAGATCGTCTGAAGCTGTGTCTTCAATTTTAGAATAATTTGTTTCATTGTCATTGTCAGAACTTTCAAATTTTTCATTAGTTTCTGGGGTCGATTCACTAAAATATTCAAGATATGTAACATACGTTTGGTTATACGTCACACAAAATTCTTCATCAAGAACATACAGATTGCGCTTGTTGCTCAAGTAACTTTTGCTTTCTGATTTGACATTTCCATTAGCCTCTGTAATCATATAAACTTCCCTCAAGATTTTTTCTGATTTCCAACAACACTCCAGAAATTTATCAAACTTTACTATGCAGTCAACGCACTCCATGCAAATGTATGGTGGAATTTTATCACAAGGGGATATCTATAATATAAACACCGTTAATTCTTTAAGTAAAAAAATACAAAATGATTACCTCTATCTGGGTGTAATTTATTATTTTCTTAGCCAAGTCTTCGTGCAACTCACTCTGAAATATACCCAATACTTTATTGGTATCATCATCTTTCTCTTCGTATAAACAAAATCTACACTTTTTTGTGATATTTTCATTCATATTTATTATATTAAAATTTGTGGACAAAACAAAGAATATAACCTCAAATAACAAACCAACGTCAAAATATTGGTAACCGTTGCTATGCTACGCAGAGCTGCCAATGAAAATCTAGAAAGAAATGACGTAGTCAGTTTTTCACTTTGAAAGGTTTTTCTTCCAATGTGGCTTATTTGTGGACTCTTTGGAATTGAAAAAAATTGTAAATTTTAAAGTACTATTTGACTTAATAGCAGCACGAACTAATTTTGTGAGCATAATCATGTTACGAAGGTTGTGCCTGTATTAATCTATGGGTTGTGCACCTTTTGGTTGGCCATGAGTTTGTGGTGGTCGGCTAGAGGCAGCTGACGCAGTCTAGATTTGTTCCTAGGTTTGAGAGTACCTAAACAAAACTGTGTTCTGTACGTACTTCCGTTACCTTCTGAGACCATAGATTGTGAATTCTTTTAATTTACCTAGATGTTCTGTGGGTCACATACGGCACATCAATTAATAAGGTTAGGTTATCTTTTGTGTGTGTAAATAAACAAATCCTTAAATAATTATGAATGATTAAATTTCTTTGTTGTAGGTGGTTTAGTTTCGGTTAAGTATATTTAAATATTTTATATATGTCTTTAGATTAAGATAAAAATTTTAGGTTTGTAGCTCCAGAGAACTGAATTCGATAACCATTCGACTATATGCTGGAAACATTTTTAAAATGGATCCTATAATATTGGTGCATGGAGGTGCGGGACGAATTAAAGACGATAAAATAGCGAAAGTATTAGTCGAAGGTGTTAAAAAGGCGGCTAAGATTGGTCATAATATTCTTGCAAAAGGGGGCTCAGTATTAGATGCTGTCGAAGCAGCAGTGAAATATATGGAAGACGATGAAAACTACAATGCGGGCAAGGGTTCTGTGTTGACTCTAGAAGGGGAAGTTGAAATGGATGCCAGTATTATGCTCGGGGCAGATCTAAGTGCAGGTGCTGTAACAGTAGTTAAAGATATTCAGCACCCCATTAGTCTGGCCAGAATGGTAATGGAAAAAACTTCGCACATATTATTGGCAGGAGAAGGTGCAAAAAGTTTTGCAGTATCGCAAGGGATCCAAATATTACCAGAAGGGGCATTAGTGACAGAACGTACCAAAAATGCACTGACGAAGTACTTAGCGAGTCAAGAGCATAAGGGAGATGGTCACGAATTGGGTAAATTCACTTTTATTCAAGGCACTAACAAAAAAAAAAATTAATTTGCTTGTTATTTTTTAGGCACTGTTGGCGCGGTTGCTATTGATTCCAGCGGCAGATTAGCAGCCGCCACGTCCACAGGAGGTAGAGAGGGGAAACTCAGAGGCAGATCCAGTGATACTTGCATAATAGGGAGCGGCACGTACGCAGATGACAATATCGGCGCAACTTCCACAACAGGACATGGAGAAACGATAGCCAAATTTTGCTTGGCACACTCTGTTATAAAAAGTATGGAGGGTGGCAAGGGGGCCAATGAAGCAACCAACGATTGTGTACAGCTTATGACGAAACGACTAAATAACACTGCAGGGGCAGTAACTCTGTCCAGTAAAGGAGAGGTGGGGATCGGGTTTAGTACAGAACGGATGTCGTGGTGTTATCAGAAGGGGGACGAGTTGCATTTCGGGATAGACCATGAGGAGCACAAGATTGAGAAGTGTTGACAGAAATTATTGCTTTCATAATATAAAGAAAATATGTGTTTACTTTTCTAAAAATAAAACTGTTACAACTAAATTCCTTTTATTAAAAACCATTTTTAATATTTTTTAACATTAATAGTAAAATACAAAACTTATTTATTCGAATTAGGAGCTGAGAAATAATTCCATTTACCTTACACGAAATCATGCAATCAAATCGATTCAACAAAATACTTATTCGACTCAAAGTACAAATTTTCTACCATACAGTACCTGTAAATGTAACTATAAATTAAAAAAATATTTCTGAGATTCCAATTTTAAATTAAAATTCTTTGGCATTCAACACCGAAAGGAATGTTAATTAAAGATTATAGAAACTAAATTTACCACCAAGTTCTTTGGTGGATGCCAGTTTTTCAGCCTTTCCCACTTTAAAGTATCTGGATTTTTACTTTTTCTATAGACCCTTGAAATACCCGCAGCCAAAACTACGTATACTTTCTATCCTTCCCATAAAGTTATTAAGACAAAGTAAACGCAACAAAATTGAGTATCTTCTCAATGGCATCTTCTAGTTCCTCTTCGCTATCATTCTTTACTTCCAAATTCCATTTAACCCAGTCGTCTAAGTCACATTCCGAAGCAACATCGTCAACTCCTAAAATGTATAGTACTGTAGTAAATTATTATATCACTGCTAATAAGTCTTCAATTACCGTTTTGGAAAATCCATCCCCTATTTTTTCTCGTTTCCAATTCAGCAGATATGCGTACTGTTTTGATTTTATCTTTATATGTTTCCTTAAACCATTTTATATCACTCTTCCTGCGAATATCGGTTACAATCCAAACAGGTTTTATTTCCGCTACAAAATAGGTATATTGTATTAAATTTTCATTTTAATTTGAATAAAATTTACCATCATCACAAGCTTTTTTACAAAAATAACCAGGATCTTCCTCTCTGATTTTATCGCTCCACTTGATCATGTCAAGTCTATATTTTTCTTTGTAGGGTCCATCACTCATAAGCTCTTTTATATCCAAGTTATGAGTCTCTGCATAGGAACATTTTAGGGGAGCAGATATTCTAATTATAGCACATTTTTCTTCTAAACTGAAATAAAACATAAATGTATACAACTATATTAGAATAATTCAAATTTTGTAGATAATTACATCATCTTGAGTTTTTCGCAAATGAAATCTTTGCCAGATTTTCTTTTTCCACTAAACATTAAAATTATGTGGGGGCTCCCCATTTTGCACACCCAAAGAGATAACTATAAATAAATTAATAATTAATACACGACAAAAAAATTCAAAATTATAACCTAATTTTTCTTCTTCGTTTTAATCTCCCTTCTTCTTCTTCTCTATCTCAATTCTCAAACACTATAATAGCCAACATAAGGTGGGGCTTGTCACTAATGTCTAAGGACAGCCAATCCACTTTGTTCCGAGGCTCTCGGCATTCTTGGCATGTACAATTCTCTTGTGATTTCAGCCAGAGGTAACTTATTGGAATCATTTTTACGATTTAAAAAAACTACTATTGTGCATAAAAAACCTAATTTAGCCTATTATTATTATTATTATATTATTATTTTTTAGTAAACGTATAGGAGAGCCCGCAAGCAAAGTTCATTAGTTGTCTTTAGACAATAGTACCAGTGTTACCGTTTAAATAAATATATACAAATGAAAATGAAAAACCCCAAGTCAAAATGGGTACGTAGACAAGAACGTAATTGATAAAATTGATTATTATTGCCGATAAAAACATTAGAAAACACTAGAGACGTGCTCAACGTCAGCAATAAAACAAAAGTATGTAATAGGTTAAGTAGTGCGGCCGGAAAATCAAATTTAAGCGTTCTGAAAGAATTTACGAGAGAATGTTAACCACAGACGATCTTTTAGGCCTGGACAGTTATGCTTTTAAAAGTTCTCCAGAGTCATGTAGCGATCAATCGTATTCTACAGGTATATTTTCCGCCCCTTTTACTACGAGAACACGCCTGTAATATTTTGTTTCGTTTTTTAGATTACATGGAAATCACGTCTGATGAGGATTTTTTGACTCAACTCTCATCAGACTTGGATATACCGCTGCTACTAAACCCTGGAGAAGATGAGATGAGCATGTTGAATTCATTTTTTGATAAAAGCCCTGAAGAAATTTTATCAGACATTGCTTCACCACCCTATTCACCGGATGAAGAATTATCAAAGGAGTTGAATGAATTGCAACAAATGGACTTCTCACAATGGGGTCCTGATGCGTTCCCGAACCTTCAATCAGAAATAAAGGAGGAACCGTCTGATAACTCCTCGGATTCTATAAAACTGTCACCTTCTCATAAGTCTAACAGTCCTCTAGAAGATATCATAAAAGATGAAATAGAAATCAAATCCGCCCCTGCATCCCCTCGCAGCCCTAGCTCCAGCTGTTCCATCATTGTGGAGAGTACCGACAATAGTTTTACTACCAATTCAAATAAAATCGTGTACGCCCAACCCGTACAGATAGTTCCTCAAATTAAAACCATAACCAAGCTACCACCAAAGCGGATTCCGATTATTCCTAAAAGTCCTTACACGATACCCGTTACAAGTAATAATAAAGTTGTCGTGATAAATAATAATGACTTTAAAATTAATCCGCCGGTTATATCAAACCCTAGTAATGTGGTAACGGCTCCTAACGTTGTCGTTTTGGAAAATTTAAGGACAGTTCCTATAAAAAGTGTGGCTACTTTGCCGCAATTCTCGACCACCACTGCCCAAGTACCAGCGACTACCGTTGCCAACATCACCCAAGGTGTTTCTATCCCTTCTTCGGTTGTTATTGGTGGCGGTAGTAGATTTTCAGTTGGTGTCGGTGCAAATGTCGATCCGAAAATCTTGAAGAGGCAGCAGAGGAAAATAAAAAATAGGGAATCAGCGTGTTTGTCCAGGAAGAAGAAAAAGGATTATGTGACGTCTTTAGAGGAAAAAGTTAAGGAGTTGACTGCGGAAAACGACAGGTTAGAAGCGGTGAGTGATATTCTTTAAAAAGACATTTTGTTTTAGTTTGTTGTTAGTTTCGTGATGTTTTAAGCTTTGATTTATATTTTATTAAGGTTATATAAGGGGTGATCAAAAATATTTTTGGTCAAAGTGAAGTAGTAGTTTGCCTATTTATTCTTGCTTGCGTCAGATGATAAAATTTTCAAAAAATAATCTCATTTTACAATAGGTACTATTATTGATAAAGTTATTACTTTAAATTTTATGTAACAATTTGCTGTCTTAGGTGAATGTAGGATTAATGTATATTTTTTATCTGATAACGTTTGTCAAATGACACAATTTTTTAATCTAATATCTCTGATTGACTTTATCAGTAGCCTTCAAAAACTAAATAGCTTATAGAGATTACTATGATTTCATTAAAACCTTTTTTGATAGTAGTTATAATTCCTAAAGCATCTATTATTTGTTTTTAAAATAATTTTAAAAGAATACTTTTTATATTCCATATTTATTCTGACTGGATTATTGTATTGCATTTAAATTTTTACCCAAATCCAATTTTTTCTATGCAACTTCATATTTTGTATTGTTTGCAACATATTAAGTTGAATTATATTGCTTTTTTAAATATGCTTGAAAATTTCAATAGTCCTTATCTACATATCAGAAATATTTGTTGTAATATAAATTATATAGGTAGTACTTCATATACAAATATTTTTTAATTAATCTCAAGTTGAATTCTCTTCTCTTATCTGTGGTTAAACGTAGCCTTGTAGAAATCTATTTATATTTTTTATTAAATCGTCATCAAAATCGCATTAAATGTTTCCTTGTCTATAATTCACTTACGGATATTATTCATGCCGGAAAATTTCAATTTAACTGGTAACTTTTTGTGTCACTTCTATTGGTCGCAATTAAGCAACTTAATTTTCAATCAAACCGTTGCATAAAAGAAAGTATCTCAAACGTAATGAGGTTGAAATTGCCCAGAAGGGAAAGGCAAAACAGGGGTTCAGTAACATTTGACATGATTATTTTTAGAAATGCAAAAATTTCTTACTAATTTCAAATTGCTGCGTCACTAAATTGAATTAAAATATTGACTCATAATTACGAAATTCCAGAACAATGGTTTGTTGAATATTTTGAAGTTTATAAACACTCAGGAAATGCAACCTTGTTTTGAAATTGAATCAAAATGTGTCACATAGAGATTTAAACATAGTTTTGATAAATAATTGCATTAAATTAACTTTATAAACAGCATTCACGTTTTTTTGTTGAACTTATGTAGTACAAAATACAATTTAAAGCAATGAAGACACTATAATAGATCATTAAAATGATTCAGAAGTATGGAATGATGAACAGCAAAATATTAGAGAGACTAGTTAAATTTTTAATAGTCATGGAGAAAGTTTTCTGGCTTGTCGGTAAATTCAAAATTGATTGGAACGAAAAAAAAGATTATTTGTAGTCACAGTTAAATTTGTATTTATATCTTCATTGTTCGTGTTCCAAAATTTATTTTGAGTAAACTATTTATACTTTTATATTTAAAAATAGGGATGATAACAAGGGATTCTTAATAAAATAGCAACAATAAGGAATAAAGAATTTTTAAATATAGATTAAATTTAATTTTACACAAAACAATCGTTAGTGGCCCCTTACCACCAAAAGATAATTCAGTCATTAATAAAATGGTATATTTTGCAACAAAGATGAAAATGCTGAAAACAATATTTCATCTTGAGTAGGAAATATGTTTTTCCACTCATATACTTAAATGTAACGATTTTCTCACGATTTAAACGATATGAGTGTGACATATTTCTATATTTTCAACTGCATACACAAAAATTAAAATATCAAATATGATTTTCTTGATACACTACACCTACCGCCTCCTTATCAGTGGATTTCATTTCAATTGCATATTTCTGTACAATCGAAAGATATAAAATAATTATAAAACTAAGTGAAGTCACTAAAAAATAATTAATAATTGCACAAGTAATTTCCAAATTATTAACGAAGCACTAAAAATCAGGTACCAAAAGTAAAACAACTTATATCAATGTATGCAAAATGAAATTAACAGGAAGTTGTACAACTTAATAATATTTTGAGGTATTGTTTTGTAATCGAGTACAGGAAAATAAACTACAAACATAGCTAAAAATGTAGTGGTTATTTGAACGAAAAGAAAAGCATATTTTGATTGTACCGATTTTATGTTTTTTATCAAAATAGTGTTGAAAATTGATGCAGAAATTGACTTGTGAATGCTAAGGCAAATATTCAGAACTTCCCTAATTTTCATCTCTTGTTGCAAAATGTAGTATTTTCTATTCATACAATATGTTTTAGGTCTAATTGGATAAACTTGTAGTCAAAATAAGGAAAATATTCTATGCTTTGTTTTTGAAATTGTGGAAATACTTAAAATCAATTTTAAGCTTAAGTGAGAAATATTATTCAATGTATATTGTGCATTTTGGGATATTGGGTTTGAAGTGATCCTGTTTTAGGCTATGTGGGCATTTTTTAATTAAAAGAATCCTAAAGTGAATTTCTAAAAAACCGTTTTGAAACAAAACCACAGCAACAAAAAATTATATTTTTTTAATACGTAGTTGTGATAGTCTGGAACTTTTCTTGTTTTTCGTTATGAATATTACATTTCTCTAACAATTGTTAAAGTTCTCCTAACAAAGATGTCACGATAGAGCCCCCGAAATCCCGGGACCCCGGGCTTAGTTAACAATAGTTATGCAAAAATATTACTATTAATACTTTTCCAGAGTTTAAAGTCAAATATTTTTTATTTAGCTTTTATTAATCGTTTTTTTTTTTATTAAAAAAATTGCATCAGTTCATAAATGTTCATTCTGGTTACAGGAGAATGCTCAGCTGAAAGAAAGGCTGGCACAATACGAGGACAGTCCATTGAATCAGTCGCAGAAAGTTAAGAAAGGCGTCAAACAAAGCATAGTCCTTTGTATGGTGTTATTACTAGTAGGTGTAAATTTAGATTTTATAAGGTAAAACGCAAATCGGCGACTCAATACGAATTTTTTTTATTGAATGTAATAATTTTCAGGAATCCGTTTAGTACAAAAAACCAGTTAGACATTATACGTAGAGATATACCAAAGCTGAGTCCCCACAATGGTCGAAGTCTATTGTGGTCCGCGGAAGATAAAGAGGAGAACAAAACTTCAAATTTTTCACCGCTTTTCATGTGTCCCGCCACTATTAACCAGACAGAGACCGCCAGGTTGGTCCTCGAGTTAGAAAGGTAAGACAACAAGGCGCTGTCGGATTTAATGTTTGTATTTAATAAATTATTACTTGTTTTTGTGAGACACGTATCAATTCTAGGTGGATAGGCAAGCCCGCCGACCTCTCAACCAAGGAGAACCTGGGAAAAAACAACACGCAGCAGAGTAGATCCTCACGGGTCAAACTGAGGAAAAAAAAGTACAAAGCAGACAGCCCCATGTTGTCGTCTGTTTACAGGCGTGAGAAAAACAGAGCTAAGCAAGAACTAAAACTCGAGGTCAGGAACGAGATCCAAGTGTTTGCCCCTACGCCAGAACAACTATATTCCGAATTCTTCGAGGCGATAAATCGGCAGGACGATACCTTCTACGTGGTTTCCTTCACCGATCAGCACTTGCTGTTGCCCGCCTTGCACCACAACAAAACCCGGAGGCCCAAAATGTCGCTGATCATGCCCTCCATGCTACCGAACGGTGAGTTAATTTCGCTAATGTTCCATCTTTATTTTCTTACCTTAAACTCTCACAGGCACCGTCTCGCAGTCGTCCTTGATCCCCCTGATGCAGATCGATTGCGAGGTTCTCGACACGAGACTCATACACGTCAAGCAGGGGGCCATACCTCAACATTTGAGGGCTTACGGGAACGCGACGGCGGAAAAAGACCCGTCTACTGACAGTAAAGTAAGTAACTCGAGCGGTAGCGATGCTAAACAGTACAAGGATACTTACAAGCCTTATTTCATGAATAAGAATCTGTTGAAGCGGGACAGGCAGTTTTATAATTTAGGATAAGTGTGATATTTAGGTTAAGTCCAGCGACTGGGGGTTCCAAATGTTTTTGAACGCGAATCGGCGGGCGAGAGGCCATGTGTCGAGGTGAGGATGTAAAAACGTTAACCTGATGACGGTTCTAAAGAAACAAAACGTTGCGGGGCGAACATGATACTTGAAACGGAATCGAAAAGTAAATATTTAAAAAATATGTTAAAAAATATTTTAACGATGAATAACGAAGGAAGTTGTGGGAAATATTTTATTGTCGTTTTCAATCAATTTAAATAGGAAAATGAAATTAAATTTGTCTTTACTAATTTTTGACGCAATAAATTGCTCGATTGGTCAAGAATGGATCGAGAAATCATCACAATCGGCACCTTTTTACATGTTACCACAACTTGGCTACTTTATTGGCGAAATTTAAAACTACCTGCTATTAGAATAAAAATCAATTGTGATGCGGAGCGAACCACGAATTATAACGGATTTTTAACTTGTGCCAAACGATGTAACCGTAATGTTAAAGAAATATAAAAATTCGAAAAACTAAAATTTAATAATAATATTAAAAATCATCAAAATTGCCGATAAGTTAGGTCCCGTTGTCTTGAATTTCTTGTCCAATTTAAGGTTTAAAATCTGTTCTACGTTCGCACCAATTTGTGGCAACATAAATTGACCAAGAAATTGGCCAAGTTTTATTGATACGGGTAATACAGTAAGTCTGACTTGCTAGAAGAAATAATGAGCATATCGGGCCATTTGATTCATGGAATTTTTACACTTTGCCAACGTTTCTGCAGAATCCCTGCATTCTTCAGGGGAAAAGTTGTACGATACGATCTTATTAGCAAAATTAAACATAAAACTAACAAATTTTGTCTGTTACGATGTTTTACTCCATCGTTTTTATAAGATATCCTATCTTTTATTTGTATACAGGGTGATTGTAAATAAGTGCGAAATATTTTAGGGGTTGGTTGCTGAAGTTTTTTGTGAAAGAAAATTCAATAAAAGTAGGTGGGAATATGATTTGTTTCCGAAATACAGGTGTTTAAATTTTAATTATTTTAAAGATATTGACTCGAAATTTGAAAAACGCTTTGGAAGGATAAATTGCATTTTTTAGGGTGTACGAGAGTGCCACAAATTGTTAAAAAAAAAAATGGTATGCCACCGACTTCCCGTTTTGATATTTTTTTAGAAATTCGCCATCAATTCTGAATGAAATTGGTGTCTTCATTTTTTTTCATAGGATACATCGTTTTTGAGGAAAAAAATAAAATGTTTTATTGTAGGTTTTGTTAAAAAAAGTAAAAATGCAATTCAACATTGAAAATAAAAAGTTGACATGAATGTGGGTAAAAAATTTGATTAAAAGATTAACAAAAAAACAATGCATCCAATTTCATCCAGAATTGATGGCAGATTTGTAAAAAATATCAAATTGGGAAAAAGTCAGTGGCGTACCATTTTTTTTTTTAAATTAAAAAAGGTGGCATTCTCCCACGAACGCCACCGGTGCAAGTAGAAATATTCGTATCACCCCAAAAATTGCACATTTATTCGTTCAAAGCGTTTTTCAAATTTCGAGTCGACATCGTTAAAAAAATTAAAATTTAAACACTGTATCTCGGAAACGAAACATATTTCGACCTACGTTTATATGAACTTTTTTTTTCACAAAATAACTTCGGCAACCACCCCTAAAAATATTTCTCACTTATTTACAAACACCCTGCATATGGGGGTGCAAATTTGAATAGGGAGTCATATTTCTACGAAGGCGACCTTTGATTCTGAGATAAGTTTGTTATTTCAAGTTCTGTTGTGAAAACTGAATTTTTTTTTTGGCGGATACCCAATTATACACAAAAGCAAGCATTATTATCAAATCTAATTTTTCTTCACTCCTGCGTACGTTTTATATATCATGCAGGAATTTAACAATGGAGACACACAAACACACCCAAATTATATTTCGATTCCAGTAAACGTTAACACTGTCCCATATTATAAACACCAACATAGCAGTGACATTTTGGGACCAATTTAACGTTAACCATTTGTTTTTCACCCGCCAAGCGCCCTGTTGTCATATCACATCAGACGTATTGATACTATGTAGTTCATCTAAACTAGGTCAATGTTAGAGATCATCGATACTGAGATTCACTAATTAAACAGTGTTTTAAAAAAAATTGGAAAAATAGTACGGTTACACCTAAAAAACTAACCCCCACTTAGAAAAATTATGGTAAATTTTGGTCATTTCAATGAATTTTAATGTTTATTTAATTTGAGGGTTGCTTTTGGTGTGCAGCAAAATGAACATACTCTCTCAACGGTAAAAATAAAAGTATTTTTATCGAAAACAAGTTGGTGAAAAAGTAGTGGTGTCGGGACGAGCGTTTGCTGAAGAATTGTCTCGGTGTGAAGTCACTCGCAGGTATAAGTATATGGTCCCTGACGCCAATCCGCCGTGGTCCTCTTCCGGGAACCATATCCCGTGTTGCACATTGTTTCTTGTCCCTTGCAAGGGGTAGACCGGTCCGGCTGGCACTCTTGACGTAACACTTAAAATGAGTCACTTGCAGGCATGTGTACCCACAAATTCATTGTGCGTTAACGTTGGTTGTATTCTACAAATTCGACGCTTTTTATTTTAAATTTAATAGTAGTGGCATTAAATTAAAATAAAATTATTGTAATGTGTAAAAAAGGTGCCGTAAATACAGCGAATTGTGAAGATTTCTTGATACAGTGACAAATGTTGTAAAAAATTGTTGTACAAAACAATTTTCAACTTCTACTGGAAAACATTTTGAATGTCCCGTTCGGAATGAGTTGGAAAAAATATTCTGACAAATTGTAGTGTCGCGATTTTCAACATATCGAAAAACTTGAATTGCAGAATTTGTGTCTAAATACTGAAAAGTGAATGAAAATTTTTTAATAACATTTTTTAAAATCACCGTCTTTACAGTTCCTTTATTAGTTTAGGTTGCAAAGTTTTTTTTCCAACTCGTTCCATTATTCTTTACTGATTTAGACCAAGTGTTTTTAATGGAGACGAATAATCTCCACACTCGATCCTATTCTTCTGGATGTAAATTTTTCATCACGTGTGATAATGTAGCCTATAGTAGTTGTTAATTATTTAGTTTTATATGACATTTTTCATACGATCGACGAAGTTGTCAATGTGGCTCTTCAATCATTTTCACAGGTGTGTTCATTTATTCATCTTTGTGTAATGCATTGTTGTTTATTCGAACCCGATCTCAAAAATTCTCCGAATCCTGAGACGCGATTACTTTTAACAGTACGAAAAAGTGCAGAGAAAGTAAACGGATTGTAATTATTTCTGTCGCAGCTGGTAGCGCCTCCTGTAAAACCCAAATTGCCTTTGCCTCGCCTATTGTCTTACCATTCCGGACGGGTTTGATAGGGCATTTGTGGGGTGTGTGTCGTTTTAATTATTTCAACTGTCCCACCGTTAGGTGAGTATTGTAAAAAGACAGGGGGGATTGGGAGTCTTGGCTGTTCCCAGGCCAGTTGATTCGCAGAAGAAAACTTGGCACCCTAAAGAAAATTGCAAAAAGTTGCACAATATTTTGTTGAAACTTTTGTTAATATCGGATTTGAGCTCTTAAATTATATTTGAAAAACTGCGTTGAAATCATTTGTTTATAAAGATAATTTAATGATGTTTGTAGGCACATCCTGTATCTCTACTAGTAGATATCCGTATAACCTTCCATTGCACTTGCAACTCGGCAGTATCTATTTTATTTGGGTCGCTAAATGTTTTTTTTCGGTTTTTGGTTTGCATTTATGTATCATAGAGGGGGAATTCCGACTCCCAAAACCCCCCCTTAAGACTGCTGATCTCTGATTTGTTATTTTCAATATGATTTCCGTTTTAAACTATGTTTAAATATCACTGACAAAGAATTTTTTTTCGTATCGTATAATTCATTAAACTTTTTATATTACATATCAGACAAAAAATAATACGGTTTTAAGCAACGTTTAGTGCCTTTGTTAGACAGAATTGAACTGTAGCAGTTGTTTTTTTGTCACACGTCTTTTTATAAAAGTTTATATTTCTATTATTTATAGTTTATATAGAACGTGGAAATCTGTAAAACCATTAAATCAAAATTATTACATTGGTTTCCGTAGAGTGGGTGGAGCAAATTCGATGGGATTGTGGTTGCCTCCAAAAATTGTGTGATAAAACTTGACACCAAATCCCATAAAATTTGATCCATCCTGTGCAAATTTAAAATATTTTGTAAATACAGGATGAATTTCTGTGGTTATTAATTTTCCGTCTGAACGACAAAAGAGTGATTGCAAAAAACCTGTTTTCACCGGGATTTTCACAATTCGCAGAGAATTTAAAAAAATACATAAACATGTTTTTGGTCGCAAATTACTTGTCGTAAAAAACTGAAATGAGCATAGCTTTGAAAGTTTGAAAAATCACCCCTACTTAGGGGTTGAAAAAATGCTAAAAATGAAAAATTTGAATATTACCAATTAATATATAAACTATTAGCATGTGAATTATCTTAATATATATTTTTTTTGGAATTATTTCTGATATTCTCTATTTTTGGGAATGATTCCACCCCCTGAGCGCGCTTAGGGGTGGATTTTCTAATTCAACATGCTTATTTCAGTCATAAGAATAAATCTTTCTTTGTATACGATAGAAAAATTTCACATGCTAATAGTTTTTATATTTATTGGTAATATTCAATTCTACATTTTGGGCGCCTTTTCAACCCCTAAATAGGGGCGATTTTTGAAAATTTTCAAAAAACAACGCTATGCTCATTTAAATTTTTTACGACGAGTAATTTGAGACCAAAAACATATTTTTATTTATTTTCTTTAGTTCTCTGTGAATTGTGAAAAAACAGGCGATTTTTGCGGTCACTCTTTAGCCATATATGACAGACTTGGGGATTACCGTTTTTCATTATTTACAGTTCCAGCTAAGTAACCGTTGTCGTTTTACGATTTCTAAAGAAAGTTTTAATACTGTCTTTATCATGTTAATTGTGTATATTTTTTTAAACAGATGCTTTGGGTCGCTTTAATTAGCTAAGATAATAGTGTATTTAGTTTTTTTCTCTTAATTTTTCATTCCTTGTTAGCTTTACTGATAGAAGTACAATGTATATTTTATTTTAAAGGTATGTAATAACAGCTATAGACTTAATTAACAGTATTTTATTAGAAAATGCGTATCGGCACATGAAGGTACAGCAAAAAGTTTAGTTATTTTTCTAAAAAAACCTTCAAACTATACATACCTCAAGAATATAAGAAAATATTTTATTGTCATTGTTTTTTTTTTGAAAAAAGACATCTATACCATTTTCTAAAATACTTTTTCTGGTCTCATAGAAATTAATTTTATGTTACAATGCAAATATGCCAATAGTTCATAATTTCGATGTGTATATTATATGGTGATGGAATAGTCCGATATATTTTAATTTTTTTAACGGGGGATATAACACTATTTAAACTTTAGTTGTAAGCACCAAATCGACACTTTTATTTTTAAAATGATTCAAATGTGACTCCTTATTACGAGTATGTGTGCATTTTGTGTCTGATTATCTGACAGTATTTATTTGACATCAGGGTGTAACCCAACAGAGCATCAAAAATTAACTCAAATATAAAAGTATTTTTTTTTATATTTACCTTTGACACTTTTGGGTTTGTGACACAACTTCCAAAAGTTTTAAAAAATTGCATTGAGATATAAAAATCTCATTGTTAGTTAGTGCCTACTGGCATATAGTGTTGCTTTGTATCTACTGAACTAGATACCAAGAAAGCATCACGTATTGCAGTAGGCAAAATAAGCGGTAGGTATAACGCAATGCTTTGAGTAGCAATGACATTTTTAAGATGTCACATATACTTTGAGGTTATGTTGTATGTTTCGTCCACATACATAATGTTTGTAGGAAAACTGGAAAACATCTAAATAGAACTAACAAATTAGAAACCGGTATATCTGATGATTTAGCTGATGATTATGAGGTATCTACTAGATATTGTTAATTACAAATCTTTTATATATTTCTTTATTATTATCATTCTTAATATCGAAAAATGCTGTTTTGCAAATGTTTTGTTAAACTTACAAAATCTTTACAAAATGCTAATTTGGACTAAAACATTGAAGACTATGCGAAGAAAAAAATTTCTAGTGCCGTATTTTTGAGGAAAATGTACCTGCTTACGTTAAATCTATCTCGATGGTTTGTCGGATTAAATTTTTTCACATCGAATTTTTTATATGTTGGATTACTCCCTGTATACACAATACTTTTTTATTAAAGGCACTTTATTATAAAGAAATTTGAAAGCAGGAAATTATTTTAAAATTTCAGCAAACTATTAGGGACCGCAAGGGATTGTTACTAATTTATACGTAAAATCTTGTAACGCACATACATTTTTTCCCTTAGGACTGAGTAGCTTATCATTTATGTATATTTTAATATGTAAAGAAAGTTTTCGTGTGATAAAAATCTACAGCACTGTACTTTTACTAATATTAAGTTGTAGATTGTTTAATGACTTGTAGCATGTACGATTTAATTATTAATGAATAAAATTTGTAAGATGTGATACATAGTTTTATATAACCCTCTACGATTCGTTGAAAAAATGAATGCATAAGTATATTTCATTCCTTTATTTAACATAATTTAAAATATAAAAAACAATAAGGGATCCTTGTTATAAAAACTAATAAATAAGAACGCCCTGATATCTAAATGTATGTCTAATATAAATTCGTAACTTTCTTCATGTAAAACAAAAAAGGTGTAGACTTATCATAGTTAAAAGTACGTCATATATCACAAAAATAAAAAGAATGAGAAAAATACAGGAAATCAAATTGCACAGTTACGACTCACTTTAAGTCGGGGGTGCTAGATCCCAGGTAACACCTCAAATCCTGAACGGTAGACTTCACCAATTTCACCTTGACGAATTCCGATTTCAATCTCTGATGGGCGGTGTACCTATGACACCCTCCGAAACTGTAATAATAATTACCTCCTTCGCGTCCAGTAATCCACAGCACGTCAATGGGAGGGACCTGGTCAGCAGTTTCCGGGTCCGATAGGGTCTTCATCAGTGACTTCACTTTTTTCTCATCCAGTTCAGGCTTGAACGGTCTTATTATTTCAGAGAACGGCATTTCATGGACCTCGGTGATATTTCCAGCGTGTATGCTAGTCATTCTTCTGCAAAAATATGAAAATGCGAAGATTAATTTCATCAATTTGGTGTTTGGACCTGCACTAAGTGGTTAAAAAAATAAATACAGCATATTTTGTACCTGAATTTGGTATTAAGTATTGTTTGTTAATTAGCAGTATTAACTACCTGGATAAGTAAATAAGCCTGCTAGTTTTCAACATTCAAAGGACCTTGAGTTTTCCCTGGACTGACGATTCAAACAGAACTACTTTGCTAATTTATTTCAAAACCGAAGTTTTTCTTATTGAATGTTGAAATTAAAGATAAAGGTATGTAATCATAACCTGTCCTATAATAGCAATCCATGACCCATGACGTGACGTGACAGCTCCACACATAAATAAATAACATGAAAAACGCTGAGTAATAATGACAGTAATCTAGTAATCAAATGATTATTTATTTATTCCATTGAATGGAAATTCAAATTTCAAACGGACAGGCGCATTTTCTATCAGGATAGCAGAAACACCAAAATGTAATGAATATTCCTTTATAAGAAAATTAAAAATTCAGATAATTGGTTTTAATTTTACTCTGTGTTTACAATAAGTTTTAAGTATATTAATTTTTAATAAATTAGAGAAAGTATCCTATAAAAATTTTCAAATACATGGTACCAACCATGGACACTATATATCTAGTCTCCCTGGTACCAATGTTGAACAAACAAATGAAATTTCAGAGGAAAAGAACAACATCAATGATCTGTTTTCTTTTACTAATGACTTCGGAATCATAACGCGTTACGACCCGAAATCTAGCAATCTGATTGGTTTCCATCGGATCCTAAACACATACTTCTATAAAGTATGTAATCCTTAACATGTTATGATTCCGAAATCATGAGTAAAAGAGGGCTATGGTTCAAGTTGCCTTTCATTTTTATCAGCCATAAATAAGAACAAGTAGCATAAGCAATTTGTAAAGAAAGGGTAGTCGCGCGCCATTATTCCTTGGCTAGAAATTGGCCTCAATGATTTGGGATTATCCCCTTTTATCCTGCCTCATCTCGTGTAGGCCTGGACAGCCTTCGTAGGTGGGCCCCATCCGTTGTCTCGACCGCAAATGCGGCCGGTGTAGGCGCTTTGTGGGACCTCCTTTTGTCCTGGCTGGGCCCCGCCGGCTAGCTAGGTTTCTTTTGTCNAAACACCAAAATGTAATGATTATTCCTTTATAAGAAAATTAAATATTCAGATAATTGGTTTTAATTTTACTATGTGTTTACAATAAGTTTTAAGTATATTAATTTTTAATAAATTAGAGAAAGGATCCTATAAAAATTTTCAAATACGTGGTACCAACCATGGAGACTATACATCTAGTCTCCCTGGCAGCGTTGCCAGATGCCCAACAGGAAATTATCGTATCAGCGTCTTAAAATTATCGTGTGCAATCGTATGATAAAAAATAAAATTATTGTATATTCTATCGTACCTACCATCTCGTGGTAAGTAGCGGTACTCGTATAGTTAAAGTAAAGTCAGAAAACTATAATTTTTAGTAGGAAACTTTCTATACTCATTATTGTTGATTGGCATATTCTTGGCGGTTAACGTCATTATTTCATAAATAAAATGGACTTTGGCCCTTTGGTAATTTGTATTTATTTAAGATACAAAAATAAATAATAACTCCAACATAATAAAAAAAATTGCACATTACTTTCATTTTAAAAATCACATGAAACAATCTAACTTAAACTAAGTTGTACATCAGGTACAAAAACAAAACATAGCAACAGACAACCAAATAGTCAAATAATAGGCAATGCATGTTTCAAATTATTAATTAGACCGGTATGGCACCAAGACGAAAAACGATCAAGAAGCTATGGCTGCACTACTGGCAGCACATCCAATCTGATGTGTTTATGATCGAAAGGCCCATAAATTGCTTACTTGTCTGTGGAAAAACTCAGGTTATTATGTAAAAAGCATAAAAAGTTGAAAAAGATTAAATTATCGTAAATAATCGTATATCGTATAGGCAAAAATTACGATCGTATCGAATCTTAAAATTATTGTATAATACGATAATTATCGTATATATGGCAACACTGCTCCCTGGTACCAATGTTGAACAAACAGATGAAATTTCAGAGAAAAAGAACATCAACAATGAGCTATTTCCTTTTACTCATGACTTCGGAATCATAACGCGTTACGATCCGAAATCTAGCAATCTGATTGGTTTCCATCGGATCCTAAACACACTTCTACATATAAAATATGTAATCCTAACACGTTATGATTCCGAAATCATGAGTAAAAGAAAAGGGCTATGGTTCAAGCACAGTATATTTCTTTTTATACTGTGGTTTAAGTTGCCTTTCCTTTTTATCAGCCATAGATAAGAACAAGTAGCATAAGCAATTCCTAAAGAAAGGGTAGTCGCGCGCCATTATTCCATGGCTAGAAATTGGCCTCAATGATTTGGGATTATCCCTTTTATCCCTCATCTCGTGTAGGCCTGGACAGCCTTTGTAGGTGGGCCCCATCCGTTGTCTCGACCGCAAATGCGGCCGGTGTAGGCGCTTTGTGGGACCTCCTTTTGTCCTGGTTGGGCTCCGCCGGCTAGGGCCCTTTCTTCTGGTGCTCTTTTTGCTTCGCCGGCTCGTCTGTGTAAACTCCGGAGGTGGTGTCATGTTTATGTGTGGTATGGTTGGGTAGCGTAGTGCGACTATGTAGCCTTGGATGCGCTTTGCTATGGTGAATATTGTATCCAAGATCAGTAAAGATTATATTTTTTCGTTTCCGCTTTTTTGTATTTCTATTATTTTCTCTGCAATTGGGTTAATCCGTTGAGAATACAGAGTATAATAATAATTATTATTATTATTAGGATCTTGTATTCTATCATAATGCAGCTACTATCTGTCTTTCTTTATGCACCTTAAATCATATAGCCAATCATGTGTCTGCGCAAGAGAGAAAGATAATATCCAAACTGTATGTTTCTCTCTCTGCTACTCTACACTGTTGCCATAAACGTACTTCTTCCATGTGCTATAGGCTCTAAGGGTATAGTAATCTATGGTCGCTCGACAGTCGACCTCGGCTGTCTTTAAATTTTTTACCGGTCAAGCATCTGACATGTTTTTAAATTTGTTTTGCTCTCTGTCAAAAATCTAAACTTTTAAACATAAATACGTCTGTATAAATAAAACTAAATAAATGGCTCCAATAAATAAAATTAAAACTTATGGTAGACCAAACAGAGGTCTAGTGAATAATTCTTTAAGTGCTGGAAAATTACTTATTGTAAAAAACAGGGCAAAGCAAAGAAAGAAACAAAAACTTGTTATTAAAGAATTGCCTGCAAGAGGTGCCGGTGAGACGTTGTTAGGACAAGATTCTTTCCATGTCTCCACTGAGGATACTTTCGATAAGTTGGTCAAAGGTAACATCTACAATCCTGTCAATATTAAATCTCATATATCAATTGTACACAATTCGGAAAGTGATGCTTCCAAGTCAATTAAAAGAGTAAACAGTTTTTATTCACCTATAATTACAAGAAGGAGAAATAAATCTGTTTTTCTATCTGAAACGTCAAGCAGTTCAGATGTCGGAAATAGGACCAACAAAAACGATCAGTCTGACAATTTATACTCTCCTATTATGACTAGAAGTAGAAAGAAATCTTCCCATAGAATAAATATTTCTGATAGCCTAGAAAATGCTAGTGGAAAAAATAAAAGTGATTCAGTAATACCCCATTTTAAACAACCAACAATCGAAAAAATAGATTTCAGTTTGGAAGTCGAGAAGGTAAGGAATCAAATTCCAAGGTCATTAAGTTACATCATTGTCCCCGAGTCAAAAGGATGTGAGGTATCTATTAATATACCCCGAGATAATATTAGTACAAAAGGGAACTTATCTTTTGATCCTATTTTCACAAAGAGCTTTCGCGAAAAACTCATTCATTCGAGTACCCCTTTGGTTCCTATGAAAACTAAAAAAATTGTTAATTACACTATATCGCCTATTAGGAATATAAGTCGGTCTGATACTAAAGAACATACTGATCAAACATCAAATTTTTGCCTGTCTAAAAATTCTTTTACACCTTTGAACTCTGTGAATGATAGAAGTATCGAATATGTACCTGAAAAAGACTGGAAATTGATAGCAGAACCTATGGTTATATTAGATGTTTGTCCACAAATCTCAATGCTCTCACATTATCCTGGGTTTGATAGTACTGAGAAATTACAAAGTGAAGTAGCACGGCAAAAGTTTCATAAGATTATCGGTGATAATGAAAATTTGAATTTTGTTTTTAATGCAGTTGCGCCAGAAATACAGACAGGCATCAAATCTAGAGAGAGCTTCATCACTTTAAGGAAAAGAAGGATTTTAAAAAGGAGTGTTAATAAAAGTAGAAAAAGATCTAGTAATTTTAAAAGAAATACAGTTACTATAGATCAAAATCATACTCAAAGTAAACGGAAGTCAGTCATGCTTGAAGATTTTAACACTTTTGTTGATAAAATTAATAGTGAAAATGAATCAAAACTGTCTTCTCACAGCTTAAGCGATTTTGAATCATTTGAGAGGCAAAATAGAAAATTGTTAGATTTGAATGATTTTAGGGACTCAAAGGTGTGTCAAATGGAGAATTCAAGAAACTTTGTTAATAAAAAACGGCGCAGGCTAACGGATTCATACTTGATGACGAATAAAAAACAAAAAACTGTTGACAGGGCATCGGGTAAAGAAAAAAGCATAAGACGGCATTCATGTCAGGAGGAATCTTTTGATACACCATTACAAGATGTTGTCGTACTCATGCCTAAAATTAAACTTGTTTCTCATGACAATTCTACTAATAATGAATCAAGAAATGAAAGCACATCTTCTTCCTGTGAAAGTGAAAACCGGGTTAGCTTAACAAATTTTTCGGATACTGATAAATCTTCAAACGGAAGCTCAGATATTTCCGATAATGACTTTTTCAAATTAAAACATCCTGTTTTCAAGGAAGTCATTGTAGATATAACAAGACTGGAACTACAATCTGATTTAAATAGAACCGATAATTTTATTAACTCTTTAACTGGTCAAAGTAAATCCTTGTTTTCCATATGTTCTGTTAACTCTAATTATGGGGATTGTTCCGTTAGTGCGACACATCAAACTATTCAAAATGATGCCAGTGTTAACAAGCGAAATAGTTCTAGCCTTATAAAAAATAATTTCTCGACTTTGGACTCAAATATTCATCCACAAGGAAAAGAAACTGTATTGGTTTCGAAAGATGAAGACTCTGTTCAAGAAAAAAATGCTTCTTCATCAAGCAATGTTTCTAAAAGTAGTGATGGAGTTCTTAACTGCCGAAAAGAGAATAAACTAGATATCAGTGTTGAAGATTTTGAAAATTTCTTTGAAAACGTCACGAAAAGATCACGAAGTAATAAAAAGTCTGAATTCATAGAAGTGCATAGGTCTAGCAGCGGCGAACTTTCTTTTGTGAATATCGATCCATTACAAGATGATTTAGATAATAAAGACAGCAAAGACTTGATAGTAAACCTTATAAAATCCCCATGGCGTAAAAATGGCAAACAGGCCGTTCTTTCATCTAAAAACAATGCGGAAAACACAGTTATAGACCTGATTGATTCACTTGACGATAAAAGCATTAGAAAATCTGATGCCGTTAATGATATATCTGCTTTGAGGGAGGATCAGTTTCGGAAACACAGTATTTCGGATATTATCGAAAATTCAGTGCTGGGATCTAGTCAAGTGGATGAGGACGGTTTTAAGAAACCTATAAACAGCAACATGCGAAGGCGTCACTCGAAAACTTTGGTGCTTAAGGCAGGGAAGTTGTGGAGGAGGTCTCTTTCCATGTATAAGAGAAGTAGCGAGATGTTGACCATTTTGAACCAGAATGTTTGCAGGCTGGCAGATGGTAAGTGCCTTATAATGAATACTTTCAAGTTTATATTAGGTTAACTTTCAGTACATGCCCCTAAAAGATTTCAGAACTGAAAATTGTCTGAAAAATGTCTCTGTTTTGGGCTAGGCTGCAGATAATAACTTTACCGTATTGAATTGTATTACTTCTTTTGGAGATAATTATCGTGACAAAAGAAAACATGGTAAAAGTGATTGGAGTGATTGTTTGTTCAAACTTGTCAACCCAATTGCATTTCAACGATTTGTGGAGCTTGTATGGAAATTTTTCAGACTTCCTTTCCTCCTGTATATTTTAATTCATATTTAATTATTGTAATTACCGTCCATTGCTATTTGATAAGGTTTTAGTCCTAAGGAAGGAATTTTAAAAATTCTCTTCTACTCACTATTTAAAACAGACCAATCAGACCATAGCAGCTCCTTTCTATAGCAATTTTTTAAAAGTGTATATATTTTTAAATTTTTTTGGCGAAGAATTAGTTAAACTAAATTGGTATTTTATTTCTTATTTCAATTTGATGCCACTAAGCGAAAATTGTCGCTACGACTCCTTTGTAAAAGGAAAAATGAAGCCATCATTGCCAGATTGGGCGATTTGTCACAAATTAGACGATTTTTTGTTTGCAAGACATAGTTCTAAAAGTAATTTATACACTTAAAATATTAATTAAACTAATAACACCCATAAAATAACTAATTACTATTTTATGGGTTTGATAATATCTGTCAAAAGTAACTGTATTAGTTTACAAACCAGCAATTACTAAAATATGGAATTTCATGTTAACATTTGAAAATTGTTTTTGTTCTTAAATTATATTTAACCACAATAACAGAACATAAAGTAAATTAAAAAAGTAATTAAAAATATCTCAAGTTTTAGTCTTTCCGAAGTCAGTTGAACATGTAAAAAAACGTCTGGCAATAAAATTTAACGAGTTTCATAGGCATCCCTAAAAAAGTTTTCTGATGAAGGTAAAAAATTATAATAATTTGTATATAATGTGTAGAAAATTTCTATTATATGTTCATTTGGCCAACAACATATTTTAATTATTTATGTCCTCAAACAATTTTATTATATTGATTGTAAATTTAGTTTTGTTTTATTTCAAATGGTCTCCAAAATGCCATGTTGTAATAATATTATTTCTCCCTTTCGCAATTGTAATGATTAATAAATTAAAATTACCTGAATCACACCAAATTCCGCATTGCTGCACTGCACTGCTGGGCAGTTTGTCAACACTTGTCAACTGCTGAGATTTATTGCCTAGTGGCCCGATGCAGCTGTGTTAGATTTTGTTTGCCCGCGCTCACATTCTTCAGCTGGGTGTATACATTTCTACCACCTCCACATTTAGTTTGACAAGACCTGTATATGGGTATGGCTAAATAAATATGGGAACAAGTTTTTCAAATATTGCAATGCCGAGTTGCTGCGTCAGCGACCGAACCTGATACATACTGTCATCCTCTTGGTTCTCCAATTGATATCGGAAAGACTATATCTTCCATTACTTTTTTACCGACAGAAATATTCTGATACTTCGAATTTAACACTTTTCTTACGATGTTGTTATATAACATTTAAAATCATATTAGAGTTAAAAAAAATGCAGAATTATTTCTCAAGCGATATGTTTTAGGAAACTTCTGTGCATGCCCTAGATGTAATCTTGCGAGACAGTCTTCCCGTCTTTCAAACAGGAGGAATTCTATCAGAATAGTTCCGGCAAGACCAACCACTGACCCTGGCCGCGAAATATCTGTCTTGGAAAATTACGCTCACAACGCAAGTAAGTGACTAAATTTTATCTTCTTAGGTTAAAGGGTATAATCGAATAAGGCAATGCTCTTTATCTAAAGTATTGTTTCGGGAAATTTTAGATTTAAACTGTAACCGACTGAACTAATTTTTGCCCAATTTCTACCCAAATGTTTGAAGAAAACAAGGGATAAATAACTCGCAATAGTTCTTTATCTTATTTACATTTTTTTGTGTATTTTATGTCATTGGGAACGGGTAAGAAAAGGAGTTACACTTACAAAAAAAGTCATAAGGTGTTTGTTAACTCTCATTTATACATTGTTTCAAATCGAGACACCTTTGTAAAAAAGACATTTATTTGATTTAATTCATTTTTTTTTTATAGACCTTAAAAAACTCATTTGACATATAGTGTTGATAAAAATTAGTTAGGGATTTTTTTATTTAAAATTTGACTATGCCACTGGATTCTACACCCCCCCCCCAATTGAATTTGTACCAAAATTTGTGAAAAAATACTCATTGTTATTTATAAAATCAATTTAATGTTATATTGTTTCTGTTTTTCCTAAACTGGACAAGCAATCTATGAAATCTTAAAAAAATAAAATAAGTAAATGTTCACCATTTTTTTATAATTTTTAAATATTTAGTTTTTCAGGTGAACTATACTTAAATAAAAAATATACAAAGAGCATTCAAGGAATGAAAAACAACTAAGTATGGGAATTTTAGATTGAGACCGCAATTTTTGTAATGTTTTCATGGCTTATGTCATTACTTGTCATTTTTTGTTATTTGTTAATCCATTAAAATAAAAAATTGTTTACTTTGAAACGTAACACTAAAAAGAACAAACAAACAGCTTTTTATGTGTTTATTTAATTTAATTATGATTCCATAGCTCTGTTTAGGAAAAAGAAGTGATGAAAACGATAAACATTCATTTTACAATTTGGCACTAACCGAATTGTAAATTAGGGTGTAAAAAAAATCGCTTACCAATTCTTATTAAATTTGACAATGAAAAAAAAAAAAAATCAAGTAGGCTTTGATAACTACATATACATTCAAATGTCATTAGATGTAATAGTTTTTAAGCTCTATCATAAAAAAAAATTCCACTTCCAATGGGTTCATTCTTCTTAATTAATTATACGATATATGATACACGACCTGTAAAAAAAGGTGCCTAAACGATAAACGGCGCCAAAGAACCTGCGGCTAACGGTTTGGCCTAGTTTTTCTGTAACACCCAGTATACTTATTAAGTACAGATTATTAGGTACATCTTTTTTTTATATATTTCATCAAATATCAGTAAAAGTGTGTCTAATTTATTGTAATATTGCGCAAATATCTACACAGTTCTAAGTAATGGATTATGATTTTGATTCCGAGTTGTTACCTAGATACCTACGTATATTTTAATTGTTCGTTATTATTACAAGTTTGATAACCTACCTATCTAGGTATAATACCTTACAAATAGGTATTTCCAACAATATATTATTAGTTTTTGATAAATTTCTTCGAATTTTATTTAATCCATTGAAATAATTTTATTTAATTAGCAAATTGTAATTTGACGGAAAATGAACTAATTATTGACAATAATAATGTTTTGGAAAATAATAACAATAACACATACATTTGTATTAAAGTCGCCTTTGCACTATGAGTCATGTTACTTCCTTGCAGCCTTTGATAATTAATTACGCGCATTGCATTACTCATAAATCCTCAATAATATTATTCATTTATGGGTGTAATAAAATATAGTACATATTTATGGATACACGTTATACTCGCAGATGTTCTTTAGTTCAGGCCAAAATAAAATTTAGGGATTTTATTCACTCAATATAAAAAATCTAAGAATGTTGTTAAAGTAAAGAAATGAAATCTGTTTTTACAAATAATAAATAAAACCAAGCACATAAACTTTAAAAAGTTTGCATGATACCCAAAATTCCTTTGTTTAGACTTTGATTTTATTCTGTTGACGACTTGTGCTCCGGCCTGTACTGGTGCAGGTTTCGGTGTAACTCTCGATATCAAAATGGCGGTTCCTTTTTCCAAAATTTAATATTCGTCAAGGTGTACTTTTGATACTTGTTCATTTAATATCTACTGATTAAGGAAATCTCAAGTGGTGTTAAAAATAAACGTAATTATATCCATTTTGAACCGGCGCACGCGCACATAGCGTATCCCGTTAGTACAGGCACGTGATTTAAGTGAAGCGTTCCGTAAAAGAAAATACGTAGTACGGCGCAGTCCGTCCAAGGCTACGTTTTATTCAGTTTTTAGTTGGTGATTTAACCGAGTGCTGTTCCAAGTTTTTGAGGAATATTAATTACCCCAGCAAACTATCTTCGATTAATCGTTGCTCTGCTCTTCCCGGCGAGAGTTTAGTTAATACGTCAAACGAGTATTGCATGCATCTGTGTGCGGAAAGTCCCCATTTCGATACCAAGTGTATGTGCATTACTACATATGAATCTCTATCAGGTTATGTGTCTGACCGGATTCTCGAAGATAATTTGGAAAACGACCTTAGAAGTTTATCGTTAAGCAAGAGGAAGACTTCCATAGTCCAAAATTCGACGCCCGTTGTTACTGCCAGGGAACTCGTTTTGAAGAAATGTGGTCAAGAGGAGCCCCTTCCGTTCGAAGAATGCTATTCCAAGAGGTAAGCTCATTCGTATTTCGTGGTGTTTGTTTACGTCAGCCATTTGACACGTAATGGCACCATTCATCCTAACGAATTTTAACCGTTTTTCTGTTAATTTGGTAGAGTTTTGCAATCAGGCGAAAGCCTTATTGTGAATGGCGTTTACTTTCGCTTAAATGCAATCGTCCGCTTTCTTTTTTTCCTGGTATACTTGTAAACAAATGTGTTCGACGCGTAATGCTTTGGTTCTCGGGAACGCCGGATTAGCGCGTCCCTCGTTCCAAGAAATTTCTCTTGTAAACTTTCCCGTTTCGTTTACATTTTTATCGATTGGCTCAATTTTGCTTGAATATATGTATTTTATAAAGGCCTTGAACTTTTGTAATGGTTTTCCGATGCTGGGAAATATTTCGTAATGTCTATTTTTAACGAATTATGAAATATTACCACAAAGAAATAAGATTACGATACGTTTTTCATCTTTAATTTGTCAGCGTCCACACAAATGATCATAAATTAATGTAAATACGCATAATTTAATATTATTTTACTGTCACAAAGGTGAAATTAACATTTTATTTAAAAAATTCACAGCAAATTTATTGTCTGGATATAAATATTCTCTGTTATCGTTATTTTTCCAAATGAAAATATTTGGGCTACAAATATTTGCTTTTAGCTGAAGGATTTAAGAACAATTATTGACATTGTCTACGAGATTTCCTATATAAATTGAATAGAATATTTTGGTACATTGACGTTAACAGCCATTGTATGAAAATCCTACCGATAAACATGATATTAAGATATTAATTCGGCACGAGTTGGAAATTTTTAAATATAGACCATTTTGGATTTGAGGGTATTTCCAAAAATATTCTTTGAGTTACTCGAGGTGAAATGTAAAAATAGAATCTATTAATGTCACGGAAATATTATTTAAAAATGTTCATTGGCACACATAAACGGCCTATTTCCTTTGGGAAAGTTTATATATCTATTAAGTTCCCCCACACAAATTCTGTTCTGATGTGGTAAAAAACAGATATTAATTGAAACTATTGAACCGTAGAGTCTCAAGGGTCAGTGTTACAACTTTGAACTGCTTAATAAATTAATAAGTATTAATTTATTTGAAGTAACCTTGACGAGCCACATCGTTTATTAAATTTCACGATATATGTCTAATCTATTTTGTTTGAGAACAATGCTAATAATCAGCGAGGCCAATATTTAAAGAATGTGTTTTTAATATAAATATTCCCAATCTGCTATTTGATAAACCTGTAATTTACAAAATAGATTAGGTATTTTATCTAACTGTTATTTGAGAATCTTTCTGATATTTTTAAAGATAATAATAAAAAAATTGAATAGCCCATCAACATTTTAAATTTTTTGCACCTATTTATTGTTTTAATGAATGCGATTGAATTACAGTGTACTTCAGAACTGCCAAAAAATTGGGGAGGGTGTCTATGGAGAGGTGTTCCTCTTCAAAAACCCCAATGGGGGCACATCGGTGATGAAAGTTATTCCCATAGAAGGCGACCTAATAGTTAACGGCGAGCGGCAGAAAAAATTCGATGAAATCCTATCAGAAATCACTATAGCATTGTAAGTCGATGTTAAACCGAATTGAATTAACTAATTTAACATGATTCTTGTCGTTGATCAGGGAGCTGAGCAATTTGAGGAACAACAATGACAACAAAACGAGTGGGTTCTCGGAGGTGCAGAAAGTGTGCTGCGTTCAGGGCAGCTACCCCGAAAAATTGATATACCTTTGGGAGCTGTACGACGAGACTCGGGGTTCCGAGAATGACTCACCCGACATCTTCGGGGAGGACCAGCTCTATATCGTACTGCAACTGGCCAATGGGGGAAGCGATCTCGAGGCTTTCATCTTCAATAATTCCCTTCAGGCCTACACAATGTTTCAACAGGTAAGTGCCAGTCAAAACGAAGATCGTTAAAAATCCTGCTTCTGATTTGTGTTTAAAAGTGTTGCCCAAATATGTCCAAAGTATTACCCACTTCTGATGTTTTCTGTAATTGAATTCTTAAATCAGAGAAAATGTTCTATTATTGAATTATATGATCAAAAGAAACTGAAAAATACTAAAAGGTTCCACTTCTGATTTTAAAATTGGTTCTTAAAACAGAAAAAACTGAAATATAGTAAAATATCCCGCTTCTGATATTTTCTATACTTTTAAAAAATAGAAACTAAAAAAAAATCGTAAAATATTCCACTTCTGATGCATGTCTAAAGTTTTATCCACATCTGACATTTCAGTTCTTAAATCAGAAAAATCCAAAAGATGGAAAAACATTTCACTTCTGACGTGTAAAACATATCCCGCTCCTGATATTCTCTATAATTCGATCTTCTCCATCAGGTCGCCTGCACTTTGGCGGTAGCCGAGGAGGAGCTGCATTTCGAACACCGCGACCTGCACTGGGGCAACGTCCTGTTGTCCACGGTGGACAAGAACTCGAAGGTCACCTTCCGCCTGGACGGCAAGAACTACGACATTATGACGAAGGGTGTGGAGGTGGCCATCATCGATTTCACGCTGTCCCGGATAGAGTGCGAAGGTGTGGTGATCTTCAACGATCTCAGTTTGGATCCCGATCTCTTTACCGCAGAGGGAGACTACCAGTTTGAGGTGTACAAACTGATGCAGAAAAAGAATGGGTGAGTGTGAATGGTTATTTCTTTAGGATGGGGCCGCATATGAGGTGTTTTTAAAATCATGAAACGTCACAACCGTTAAATTCAGCTGCATCACATTTAGTAATTTTCTAGCAAGCTCCCTCTAATTAAAAATGACAGTATTGTAAGCGCAATTAAAAAAAATTACTTTTCATTTCCAGAACTCGTAAAAATACATAATTTTAGCAAAAATAATCAATTTAAAAGTTGCAAATATCTTTCGCATAGTGTTCCTCGAACCATTTTTGATGTGTTTTTAGAGTTTCTTTCCCAATTTTAGGCAGATGCTTGTTGCTCCTTTAAATACCCGTGACATCGGATGGTTGTCTTTTGTTTCGTACACGATAAACAAAGATGGAAAAATGTGGTTGTAACAATAGAACTCTCCAAGTGTGCATATGTAATCTGAACACTATGCGAAATGTACAGCACATTACACATTTAGTAAAAATTGTGGTACGATTCTACTGCCTATTATTTTGGTACTGATGTGTAACTATAATGTTATTTACTGGTATCGACAAAGATTAAAAACAGAAATAAGTGAAAGTAGGCAAAAATTATGATATTCCTGCATGTGAAGCGTCCCTTTCTAAAATTTCATGTGTGGGCCCGTTCGACGATTACCATATTTAATCTTTTCAGGAATAACTGGCAACGTTTTGAGCCTTACAGCAACTTATTGTGGCTTCACTACACACTAGACAAAGCCTTGACTGCCTTACGCTACAAAAACACGCAAACCAAAGTTCACAAGGAGTACCTCGGCAAATTGAGGCAGCTGAAAGACGAGATACTTAACTACAACAACGTCAAGGAGTTCGTGTTGGAGTACTTCTAAACATTGTCACTGTTACAGTTCAAAAAGCATGAATCCTACTATTTCAAATAGTTCAAATGTGAAGTATTACATTTTTCGTTGTTATATATTTCATGGTTTTTTTTCGCCGTTGGAATTGTTTTGGTATTAAATATTCTCAGTGTTTGCGTATACGTTTCAAAATTTCCGGTATGTTGTGTGTATGTATATTTTTTTAGAAATTAAAAGTTAGATACGTTTAGGAGTAAGTAAAAAATATTTTCTATTGAAATGAGCTGAAAGATAATCATAGCAAATCGCTGCTTTATGAGGTCTAGAAAAAGTTATAATTCGACGTTTTCGGAGGAGATAGGGAAAAGTAGTTCAGATGTCCCAGGCTTGATTCTTGAGAAAAATTGAAGTATTAAAAGCGCATCTCGATTTCCTCAATTGTTTAAGAGATATAGAATGGTTTTCTTTTTTGTTGTTTTTTGTAATGACGAATAACGTCGCAAAAATTGCTTGTTATAGTAAAATACTATTTAATCCACTGGATTCAAAACGGCCAAAAATTAAAAATGCCCCATATCTCTTAAACAAATCAAAATATTGAGATGTGGTCATCGCCATTTAATTTTCCTCGACAATTGAGCTCGGGACATTTGAACTACTTTTTGTATATCCTTGTGAAAGCAATAAATTCCCTGAAAAAGTTGAAACTGGTCCACTCTGTACACCATTGACAATAAATTCTTATTTTTTGTTGTGGAAACAGTGATTTTTTTTTTGTATTACATTGAGAAAAACGTTTTTTAACATCCAGTTAGTGTTTTCGAGAAACACCGGACTTAGCAATAACCCTAAATTTATTTTTATAGTATTTCGTCACCGTTTGATTTTTTATATATGTTTTGACGTGGAATCGTTCATCTTCAGAATGAGCCTCTAGTGCTGAAATATGCAATCAGGTCGCAACCGTAGTTGCTCTTATCAGCTTTATATCACTTTCATAGAATAATTGTATAAAAAACGTTATTGTACTTTTATACAGAAATAAAGTTTATATTGGTACAAGTTTGGTTTTATTTGTTTTGTTGCATTTGTCCCAAAGGATTTCCAGAATTTTTTTTGGAACGATGCTTCCAGTTATTAGTATACAGGGTGCTCTATGAAGTCTAGAAAAAGTTATGAATGGACCAATTTGGTTGGAACGGTAATTTTATTTTCTTCACTTTCGCAATTTTTCAGTAAAATAAAATGATAAGATCAAGAGTGCATTAAAAAACATTTATTTTCAACTGCTGTGATTGGTGTAAGTTTTCATGAGATTCTGTCCAACCAATCAGCAATCTCGAGAGTAGACGTAACGGTTTGTCATTGTTCACTGTAAACGAATCATTAATATTGGAGACGCTAATATTTAGAGATTTTTCCGTTTTTGTGCCACGGTGTATTTCGCTTTAGGCTAAAAAATCTTTCCCCCTAACATTTCTCCTTAAAAAAGATATACTTTGCTAATATTTCTACATGGTGTTTTTAAATGAAGTAGAAAAAATGGTATCAGTGAATGTAGAGCCAAAAATAAGAGGATTGAAGTAAAAATACCTAATATGAAAGTTGCACCCCTGAGGCGATATACCCTCTTAAAGGAGGGGATTGAAATTCACATTTTAATTTTTTTCTTTAACATGAGGAACGGTAGAGACACGAAACTTGGTATGAGCATCCTACTAATAAAGAGACACCTTTTCAATATTTATTTGATCATTGGCGTATTTTATAAAGGAGTGAAACAGTTGACCCCATTGCAATATTTTATTAGAAATTTTTTATATGAAGCAAATTGTTTATTTAAAAATATTTATTGGAAAAAATATTGAAAGGTTGTCTCTTTATTAGTAGGATGCTCATACCAAGTTTCGTGTCTCTAGCATTCCTCATGTTAAAGAAAAAAATTAAAATGTGAATTTTATTTTTGGCTCTACATTCACTGGTACCATTTTTGCTACTTCATTTAAATACACCCTGTATAAAGCCAACGGTTTTCAACAAAAAGACATTTAAATTTGTAAATGCATAAAAAACTGGTTTAATAGTAATTTTCAACTCCATTGAAAAACATATTTTTTAAGACAAGTCGATAATAAATTATTTTTTAGATTTTTAAATCCTTTGGATTTATTGTTTAGCTTTTGTTAAATTGATTAGATTGTTTTTAAAAAGTAGGTATGTGTTTTACTTTTAGCGTTTGCAGTAAAATTGTTAAATAAACGAAATTTACAATTGCAATTGCACTGTTTCCTTGCTAATAAACGATTTCGTTCATCAGTGGAGTTGAAAATAACTTTTAAACAAATCTTTTTATGCATTTACAAACGTACCTGCCTTTTTGTTAAAAATGGTTGGCTTTAAAGATATTAGCAATCTTTTTTAAGCAAAAAAGTTGAGGGAAAAAATTTGTTCGAAAGTAAAATACACTGTGGCACAAAAAAGTTTTGGTAGTTTAAGTGCGTCCTAACGGTCACTTGTGGCTTCCTATAGAAGATACCACGAAATCGTCGGAAATTCGAATTTCTCATACCAAAAAGACCCCGGATACAAAATTTCACGACATTAGCTCCAAATAGTTGAAGGATATTAAAATGTTATTTATTTTTTCAACTTTGTCACCTCGTAGCTCCGTTATTATCAATTTTTGGACTACGGCAAATTTAGTTAAAACGGCTTATTTTGAGCCGTACTATATCTGGTGGAGCGTTGTACAGACTCTTTAGAGACGATCTGTATAATATTTGTATGTTACTTTACTTCAATTTTCACATTTTGATACACCCTGTATATTTTCAAAATAAAACCATTGTAGAAAAAAATGTTTGTTTTACTTTATAGAAATTATTGATGATTCTAATTCTAAATATAAAAAGTGAAACACCCTGTATATCAATAGAAATGCAGAGCTATGTATACCGGGCGTTTCCGAGTTGTAGTGACAAAAGCCTAGGGGAGATTCAGCTCAGAAAAATATGTAAAAAAAGTTCATGAATGTGTCTGCAAGTGCTTCGTTTCCAAGATACAGGGTGTTAATTTAAAAAAAATTGAATTTTTCAAAAAACGCTTTGGCCGATTTGAATGAAATTTTTACAGATTATTAAAACAATTATCGTACATCAACTGGATCAATTAGATTAGAGCAAGCAAGTCGTTTTTTTGTAGGTTCTTAAAAACGAAGCGAGACACTAAAAAGAGTCGAGAGACATGAATGTACTATTTTTAGTGGGTTTATCTGAATTCCTTTACAAAAAAAAAACTTGCTTGCTGAGTATGCCCCTGAAAATTTTGGATCAAATAATAATAATAATAAATGTCTTTATTTAATTCTGAAAAAATAAAATTAACAATTAGGCATTGTGGTTGGCGCCGTTCAGCTAATCTATTATCTAATTGGTTCAGTAGATGTGTGATAATTGTTTTAATAAACCGTATAAATTTTATTCAAATCGGCTAAAGCATGTTTTTAAACTCAATTTAAAAAAAATTAACACTGTCTCTCGGAAACGATAATTTGCTGAGCGGAATCTCCCGTAGGCTTTTGTCAGTTCAACTCTGAAACACTCGCTATTTTCTTCAGTGAGAATAGGGCAAAGAAAATAAACATTAAACCTGTGTATTTAATACATTTTCTGATAGTTAACAAATTATAAGCTACATCACGACACGAGATTGGGATAACGAGCAAATGATAGTATTGACCAGTACATCAGGCAGAATATGAAAAATAAAGAAGGGAATATTATCCTCGATAACCGATCGACTTCCTTCCACATAATTTTCTCCTTCCCTTTATCCTGAAACTAAAAAACTAGCAAAGTTGTAAACAAAATTAAAAACACTTACCGTTTTCCAGTATAGTTTAATACATCTATCGTTTGCCAAATTTTTATATCGGAAATGATGCAAGTATTTCGGTGAAGGTGGAGGATTTGTCCACTGGGCGATCGCAGATTCCTAAAAAAAGAAAGAAAATATTAAAACTTGCTCTATATATTATTTTTTTTTATTATCTTTTACCTGGTACAATTTTGCTTCCTCCTTTTCCCGAAGCTTCAAGACATCGTATTTTCCTTGAAGCACTTTAACTATGACAAATTCCCCTAGAGATGCGAACACAGAAACCATACAACCCGCCATCCACAGATCTAGTGCCTAAAATTTATATTGCGTAAGAAAACTATGGTGAAATTTAAAAGTATTGTAAAGCATATCAAATATTTGTACACATGGTGTAATATTGCACAGACAAAGTTCTACAGATAATTCTCTGTCCAAAAATAAGCAAAAAAAGTTAAAATGAATGGAAACACTTAATTTTTGAGATTCAAGGTGATGAAATTTTATCATTCTTTATTAGATTGGCTTATTTTATGTGTTTTTAAGATAATCTATTTGAACTTAGTACAACGATTTTTTTTTAAGCCAACGGAATGTGCGATTTACTGTTTGAAATACTCTCCAGAGTGACATCTTTTTGTGAAACTATGAACTCTAGATTAGTAGGTCATTTGGCCAGTAGGTTCAAATTAACACTTTGTAGAAGTAGGCATCGAGTAGCAATGACACATAATATATACTTTGTAGGTTATGTATATCTCACCTACATTTAAAATATTGTCTGTTAGTTTGAGAAAATATAGCTTCTTTCCATGAAAATGTAACATATAGCTTGTGTAAAATTTTTTATGTGATTTGTTGGCCAGCTTTTAAGCAAAGCTGTAATAATATGGTTTCAAGTCCGATTTAATCTGCAATTTACCATCAAGTGGATGTGCAAAACGGACAAAAGGTCTTCAGGTTTTGATCATAAGGACGTTTTTTTGGTCAGAGAATCAGGTGTAGAATATTGTCGAAGGAATATTGCAACACTGTTTTCAAAACCTAAAAGCTTAATGAAACTATTTAATAATTACTTTGATGTATGCCACTGCGGGAATGTCAGATCTTAAACCTGTAAACATGGTAACCAATGTAAGTAGGCAAGTCACTAGAAGTGTGGTTCTAGCGGGTATCGAGTCCAGGTCCAACCAAAAACTGAACCACGATAGCATGACAACTAAGGTCGATGGTGCAAAGGTTTGGATTAAGTGGTGACCAATTTGTCTCTCGAACCGAAAATAAACCATCAATCTGGAGAAGTTTCCTGAAAATTAAGAAGAAATTACTTGGAAAGTGTGTGATAAAATTAAAATTGTATTACCGTTCTTTTCGCCTGTGTAGGCATGAGTTTTCATTAGTTGAAGCGGTAAAATGTTATACTGCAGCAATTTTAATTCGGGACTTAATGTTACCCCGGATCCAGCCCAATTTAATAACATTTTGTTGTTGTTGTACGAAACTGAAAGAAAATTTGTCATTTACTGAATATTATATCGATTACTTTCTTTTAGTAACTTACAGCTTTCGACAGTAATGGGGCAGACTTGCGTGTCCATCGGATAGTGCTGGAACTCCATCTGACAAGCAACTATAGCATGCATTCTAGCTACATAACGAATTGTTTTATTCCTAAATAGAGTTACAGAAGAAAACTTGTGGGTCAGAGTTGCAATCTCTAAAAAAATATTAGTTTTATTAATGTATCGCCAAAGTATCTTGATACTTTAATTTAATTAGTTTCAATTATTAATAATTTCGATTTAAGAGAATTTTAGAAATAATTATTTACTGATTTCTTCTTTTACCTATTACTTTGGAATTTAGAAAATATAAATCAGGTTGCCAGAGATTTTCGAAAAAATTAGTTGGTAGAGTTATGGATTCGTCTCCATATTCAAACATTTCCTCTGGTATTTTTATTCTTGCATCTTGCCATTCCTGCCTAATAAACATATCCATCCTAAAAAAGTATAAGTATAAGTGAATCTTCCCACATGCTTTTATTTCCTTTTCGCCCAGCATGAAACAAATCATGCTTTCATAGCACTTACAGGTCATTAGGTCATTTTATGCCACTCGGTACATAGATTTGTGCCAGTAGGCATTGAATATCAATGACATTTAAAATATGACATATACTTTGTAGGTTATATCTTACCTACAGCCATTTTATAATTTTTTTATATCAAGTATTTGTTTTAACTTTCCTAAATGCGTCACTGCCTATTTTTATGATCACGCCGTGAGTGCATGCAACTGTTTTCATCGTAGGAATATGCAAAGGGGCCATAGTAAAAAACACCTTGTATATGACTAAGGGCATTATTGAACACTACTTTAATCATATTTACCAATTAAAAGAAAACAATTTGGAATGAATTTATAAATAGTTATATATTTATATTAATAATGTAATAATTCTTATACCTGAAGTCCATATCTTCGACATTAATAGAATTTATGTCCATCACCCTCATACTGAAATCTACCTCTATAGGCTTGCCCCTCATTGTTGGTGGTCTTATCTCTGCAATTAAGATGTACCTGTGGGTTTAGTTCTCTCAAAATTAAATAAAGATTATACCCACCCTTTATATAATGCTCAGGGATAATGTTTTTCGTTTTGTTGTGCGAATCCGGGTTCCTTGGTTTGGGGACGAGAGCGTGGCTGCCTAAGACGACAGAATTTCTAAAAAAAATCGAGCTTAGTACTGTTATGTCGAATTGAAAAGTTACAGAATTAAATAATGGCCACTACTTCGATTTATAACAAGAATATTATATTTATAGCACGCGTTTACCACCCATATGTTACGCCACTGCTTGAAATTAAAAATTCCCCGTATTTAAAAAAACTATATGCAGTAGGTACATAATAATAGTTAGAAGGGATATATTTATGAGAATTAAAATCTTTAATAGGTTTTATTTGGTCACTATTGACGTCAAAATTCAATATCAGAAAGAAATCCATAAAATATTACCTTCTACATAACTAGACACTGGCACTACTGGCTTACAAATTTTTTTTTCTGTATTTTGAAAAAAAAAGAATTTCAAAATTTTATTTCTACAAAAGTGTTTTCTACAAAGACAAAATATAGCTGATGACTTTCATGTTATGGTGATACCACCTGGCTATTTCCAAGGGCAACTGAGATCGAGATCGGAGAAGCCAAAGATGGAATAACGAACAAAAAATGGACTGACAAGATATTTTTAAATCTATATTTGTTCTCTTTCTCTGTAAAACAAATGACACATTATTTCATTACAATAAAATATACGTAGAGACTGAACTTATGTGAGGATTAGGTATATTTAATTTTCCTTATTCTTGATATTAAATGTTCAGTGGCGGAACTATCATGCAGCAAAAGGGAGCAGTGCTGGAATGATAGGGGGCAAGCTATTAGGGGGCCTGAAGCCTGAAGCCCCTCCTAACTCCACTTGATACTAGTAATTTAATGTTCAATGTAAAGTAAACATTTTTCAAGGTTAAAGAGAGAATTTGAACAAAAAAAATTTCAAAACCCGACGTAAGATATTTGCATAGTTTCAGAAAACTGTATTTTTTTATATACGGAATTTGTTAAGAATGGTAAATTTCGGAGCTTTTTAGAGATTTTAGATACTAAGATATCACAATTGGGACCAATATACCTGAAAATAAATATTGACAGTTTAAAAGATACAGGGTGTAGAAAATCAGAATTTGATTTTTATGTTCCTCAATAATCTTGGCAGTTTTTGTAGCAGCAATTTAAACACTGTCAGTTTTGCGTTATTTGGCGCGACAAGTAGGTAATAATTTACATTTATCACTTTAATTTCATTTTAACATAACTCTAAAACGACTCTTTTAGATTAGAAATGCGATTTTAAGTAAAATGTATTAAAGAAAATGTCAAAAAAATTACACAGCCACACAAAAAAGTCGACGTTTTTTGGGTCGCTGAATCCGAATCCGAGGTCCACTTAATCCTATCAGCTCAGGATTTTTCATAATCTCAAAAAAAAAACGATATTTTGAACAATTATTAAACCATAATAACCCTAAGACTCAAGCTTCCAACGTTAAATCCAATTAACCAAATTCCATAAATATTTAGCCCAATGATATCCTAACCTAATAAGCCCATGAGCCCAAACCCCATAACCCCATATCCAAGGGAATACATAATAGGCAATCTGCATTATTGCAAAACATCACATAGCTTCTTAGCTATGTGAATCCTCATTCCTTTAAAACCCAAGTACTCTTATTAAGTTGGAATATCATTGGGTTGAATGTTTATGGGAGCTTATGCTTGAGTCTTAAAATTATATGGTTTAATTTTTCATAATATCGTTTTTTTTTTTTGAGGTAATGAAAAACCCTGAGCTGATGGGGTTAAATGGACGGAATCGGATTCAGCGACCAAAAATCGTATAATAAACATGGTCTGGGCCCGAAAAACGATTTTTTTGTGTGGCTGTGTGATGGTCATAGCCATGAAACTCGCAAAATTTCTACGCCAATGATCTTTCCCTAGAAATGCGATTTTAACTAATTGTAAGTACAGCAAGAGACTATGCCTCCTGCTGTCTCTAGCAAAATATAAATTTTCTACAATCATTTTTTCGATTTCCATAAAAAAATCAAACCATTGAACTGAAAGTTGGGAGGGGACCGATTTGAATTTTGCTGGGAGAGCTAAATTTTGAAGTTCCGCCCCTGTAAATGTATGTTTACTTTGAAATTCCATATAAACTATAATTTTCAATATTTTTCAGTATCAAATCGTCACCTTTTGGCAATATAAATACTAAGTTAAGTTTCCTGGTTGTTTATCACTATTAGTGTTGTTTAAACTTTCTAGATTTGAAATTGCAGAGATTTTCCTGAATTTTGTGCCCCCTCAAGTGAAATATTTTAAACATATTTATTGATTGTTTGAAGAAAATAATTATTTTTATATTAAGTATTAACAGTAGTAGTAATATATAATATTAGATACTTACAATATTCCAAAAGTAACAAAGCATCTTAGAGGCAGCTGAGATATCATATTGTTATTCAATGCTCTGAATTATACCTACAGATCGAATATCGACTTGACTTCTAGATTTAGACGCCACATTAATTTGCAGTCGATTACTGGATCTTCACTAATTTTTAAAGTAAACCGGACGACATATCTTGACAAATATACCAAACACAGCGTCACAATAGCGAAATAGAAGCGAAGTTATTGAACATTTCGCAGTTTTTTAACGAGCGTGGAGAAAATGATGGGTGACTCAAACGCCGATCTAATACGGAAGACGACCATCATGTTCTAATTATTTGTCTTGCGAGCTTGTGTACAGAGGAATTAAGCGTTTTTGAAACCGCGCTTCCGTTTCAACGACAATTAAATAATTGAGAGCGACGCAAAGCCATAATTAACAGGGCTCATGCATTTCAACGGTGGTCGCTTGGATTCATTTTTGCAAATATCACCACTCAGTGCCGCAGTCGAGGGGGAACGAGGAGCCGTCCCGAAAATGTGTTCTTAAATCAACCCCAAAAAATCTTACTTTTTTTATTATTATAGAGGCTCTGTTCTCAGTTCATTTCTATAATGTTTTTTAGTTCAAAGAATGGGTGATACACATGGGCGTCGTTTAAGGGAGGTAAAGGGGTTCAGTTATTAGAGGAAAAAGGCGTATCTATTACAATCTAGAAACTAGAATATAGTCTCAATTTTTTTATACTCAGGGAAATATAATTAGCCATAAGTAGAAGTAGTATTGCCCTAAAAAAATATCTGCTTTAAAAGAAGAGTTCCTATTATAATATAGATTATCTTAGCAAAACTTATATGTCGATTTCCCTCGCTGTTTAATCAGTTAATAACAACAAATGGACCAATGTTATTTTATGTATTACAAAATTCTCAATTAAAATATATCGTGTATCATTTCTTTATGTAATAAGAAGTGGATCTTATTTGTGGAAGGGCGAAATGGGCGGTGACTATTAGACGCCTTCATTATAGCCATCTTTCTCTATCGCACGGATTTATATGACTTTCTTTATCGCTCTTACGTAACGGCCGATGAACCATGGGGACTTTCCGACCCTGTATATGTGTGGTGTCTCGAATCAGGCCCTGATTTGTGTGTCAGGCCCTGATTTGTGTGTCACCGACTCACATACCTTAGACCTCAAGAATTGATAGATAGTTGAGTTGAGTATTATGATATTTTAAATTTGCCCCCCTCATATTTCTTGTTAACGGCGCCCATGGAGTTACAATTCGATCTTAACAAAGGGGCAACATGGACCAACTTAAAAAATAACAGTATTTTCTTTAATGGAAGTATAATTTAAATGTAACAACTTATGGTTTTATTAGATTTTGACAGATTCAGAAAAAAATTGGAAAATATGTCTTAAGCTGTTTTTGTATCTCATGAAATGAAACTAAATCTGTTTATATACGTTTATGTTCCATGTTATTAAAGCCTTTTCTAATATATGCCACAAAAAATATATGTGAAGGATTATTGAAAGCATTTTGTATTGAACAAAATCTAATAAAATCACTACATGCACTTAGGACGTCTTCGTTTCTTTCAATTAATGTCCTGTTGGGATACAGAAGAGGGTGAGGGTATAAAAGAACTGAATTTTCCTCATTCGTTCTATTTGTAAGACATCTGCGTGTAGATTTAGTTAAAAAAGTTTCTGAAGAAAGTAAGTTCTTAATAAAATATTTGTTGTGTACTTGCTTAAGTTTTATGTTTCTAAATGTTTGTTTAAACACAATAATAACACTATTTGCTTAAAAGAAACTGAAACCCTATATTTTTTCAATGTAAGCGTGTTCAAACTTAATATTTAAGGACGCCTATGAACTTTTTTCTAAATTTGTAAATGACATCCTCTCGTTCTATAATAAGTAATTAGAAAACCAAACCACATTATTGGTAGTATAAATTAGTAACAATGTTATTATAAGTAGAAACAAGGTTAGATGAAATAAAAGCACATTATTGTTTTTTACTTCTTAAAATATCTGTGCAACATTTATAGAAAACGTTAAATCAGGAGGTACTTATTTATTTACTTGTAATCAAACGCTTCAACTGAAGGAATGTAAATAATAACAACATTTACATTCCAATAACTAATGTCAATGCCAAGCGGCTAGCAAAGTAAGGCTGAGAACCGGGATTTTACCGGCTAAAGATTAAAATGTTTCCGTGATCACACTTCCAATCTTCCATCTGATTTTACAGTCTACAACATGGAGATAATTTAACTAAATTCGGTATGCATATTTAGTATGACAGTAGATATGAAACAAAAAATTACCAGCTTTAGAAACTTACCAGTGGCGGAGGTGTGAGTATCATCGATCATTATTTCCCAAAAAAAATATATCACCTCCTTTAATATTACAAATAAAATAGGTGATCATACGCGCCATTGTATTATCTTTTTGTTTCTTTACACTTTTTTGTAAGAGATAATACAATGGCGCATATGATTTTGACCTATCTTTGATATGACCTATTTTATTTGTAATATTATACAGAGTGATATATTTTTTATTGGCAAATAATGATCGATGATACCCACACCTCCGCCACTGGTAAGTTCCTAAAGCTGGCAATTTTTTGTTTCATACCTACTGTCGGTCTAAATATGCACATCGAATTTGATTAAATTATTTCAAGCGGTTTAGAAATAAAAAATTAAAAACTGATTTTGTTTAAATTTTTGACACGCTGTAGCTGGACAATGTCCGTCCTAAGACCTCACATTTATATAACAAAAAACCCTTATTTTTGGCCACAGAATACGCCTCTGGAGTTTTGACCCCTACTTAAGGAACACCCTGTATATCCACTATTATTAACTTTTCGAAAATCGATTTAATTGTAGTAGTAACCAAATGAGATTAAAATTTTTGCTTATAAAAAACGTATAAGGAAATACAGCAGACGAGGTTATTAACTAATTAATAATAGATAATTAGTGTTTGAACAGGATATTAGCTGAGAAGTGGCTGAGAAAATATTAACTATATAAGATTATATTTAGTGGTTGTTACTATATTGGGTATACCTACCTGACATTTCCTTGCATATCCAACAATTACGAAATATTTCGACCTATACGTACTTCCGCGTGACTAAAATATGTATTATAGTATTATTGTTATTAGTAACTGAGACAATCAGTGATAGATTTTCAGGATAATATGTGCAATTTGTTTGACCAGTTAGAAAAATATTGCGTTCAAATGCAAGTACTGAATTGTGGAGATATGTACAGTGTACAAGTGTGGACAATCAAAAGTTTCCAACCTAACAGTCTTTTATAAAACAAGGTTTTGTTAGTTTCGTTCATTAGGCCCTTTAATAGTTCTATGTTGGAAATATTTTTTTGTCTATAATTGTCAAGTTATAAATTCAAGTAAATGTCAAAATCAGGTATACAAACAGTAAATCACAACCTTAAAAAATATTATTTCATTTGTGAACATTATTGTTACATTTTAATACTTTTTAAATGAAAATAAAAACTATCCTCATTGAGCGGGGTTAAAATGTACCGTGGTCGGGAGTTTTTAGACTGGAAATTAGTGATGGGAGATTTCGAGTGAAAAATCGAGTAATACTCGATTATTGAGATCACTCGAGATATCTCGAGATGTTTACTCCCACCACTCGAGTAATTATTACCCTACGGTTGCACCCCAAAATAGTGCATACTGCAAATAGTCACTGATTGCGTAACCTTTTTTTAGAATAAAACGAAAAAGTGGTTAGGTTTTGATGTGCGTGAGCTTTTTTTTTTTAGCTACGCTTATAAGTAATATATGACTAATACAAACATATTTGTGCGCCGCTGGGATGAAAACGACCAGTATCTCGTATCTCGAGTGATCACTCGATTATTAGAAGTACACGATTACCGATAACTCGATTATCAAAATTGGTCGATTATGCCCATCACTACTGGAAATACTTTACTGTCCGCAGGTGCACGACAAAATGACGAAGCCAATTCGAAATCTCCTGACACGATCTACAGGACGAGAACGAGGCGACAGCCGTAAACAATTTGCATTTGCAACTCCTTGAACCGTTGAGTCAGTTCATTACATGAATGATCGAAAAACACGTTCTAAAAATAACGGATCTTGTACCGCCTTTAGGAAAAGCAGCGTGCTTGGGCGCCCACGTAAATGGAATAGATTTGCGGAAATACAAAAGGAACATGCACGCTGACATCCGGGTTACCTACCCGTCCTTGCCGAGTGAGAACCTGTCCGTCTATCGCCGCAAAAAATTAATTCTGCCTTACTTATTGGAAATTGCGCGAGATCAGTTCGGTAGCTTAACTCGAATAACTGACGCAGTCGGTTGTGTCATCGGTCAGCATTTTTAGAGAACATTTTCGGTGTTTCATACTATGTTTCAGTATATTTGTCCAAAAATATTACCTATTCTTAAATACATTTACCTATTGTCATGTTACAAACACATACAATATTAAAATTGCAATACAAAGTCCTTCTAAAATATTTGGCCAATTGATGCGTGACCTTGTTGAAAGCATGTGAAGTATATAGTTTGGTGGTAGTTTGAGAGTGTTGCAGAAACAAACAAATAATATTGTGTGTCTACGCGCAGATGGTGACGTCACTTGAGAGAAATCATAAGGGCGTGAAAATGCAACTTACTGTCGCTTCTGTCGTGCTGGTATAATCATCTTCACATCATCAAGTGTTACGGCCATTGTATTTATAAGCTGCATTAAATCTAACGGTAGTTGAGAAGAAAAACGCGATTATCAAAAGGCCACGAGCCAATACAAGAGTTTTCTCTATATTTTTCCTTTCGTTACGTATCACGTTTTAGTTTTCGCTAATTTTTGAGGCTCAGAAGTTCCAACAAATAAAATGTGAGGTTATGTCATATGTTTATGTTATTTCAAATTGTTTTTATAAAGAGCGGTACTTGAACTAACAAAGTAAGATATAATTTTTTGGTGTTATCTAATAAAGAATAACAATTTCACTCTATATTATTTGTTTTTATTTAAAAAAAGCTGGTAGTAGCTGTGGTGTGAATATGGTGTTCTTGCCAGCTGAACCAGTCGGTGCATGACGTCAGAAACGAGATGCAGGATTTCGTTTTGACACAAATAGTAATTATATATTTACATATTCTGACAATTTAAATTGATCGTGGTTTGTAAGATGTAATTCCCACATTTACGTTTGAAATGAAACGTGTTTAAATAGTTTAGTAATCAATTTAAGAATGTAGGATCCAAATCTGAACATAACCTTAAATATTATGTCCAGTTTGAACACCCAATATGCTGCGAGGATGATTACGCTACAATAGCTCCGGAAATGTGGTGAATTATTAGAAAAACCACAACAATTTGGTTGTATTTCAATGCCAATTTATATCTTGATTAAGTCGAGTCTCGTTACCGACGTCACAAAATGCGCTTAGGTACATCATACTATAAATAGCTATATTTGTTTCCAAGAAACAAAAATTATTATAAATTATCAAAGTCAAACAGCTATAGTAACACCGTGGGCAAGTCCGCTACTGGAGTACCTGGTTTTCTTCTTGAATGTTAAAAAAATTACATACATTCTTAATATTATTAAGTAATGCAATTCTAAGAGCATTATGATCATCATTTTAGATCAAAAATTTTAACGAACCAGAGGTTTGAGATAAAAGCCGTTAAGTTAAAAAATGTCACTTATCTCTTTAGTGTTATTCATATTTTTGAGAAAAATAATTGTCATTGAAATCTTTAAGGATGTACAAGAAATTTAATTTTTCTGCGACAATTATTTTATTTTAACTTTTAGCTTGGGTTTTGAATGTTACAGTGTATATAGGGTGTCCCAGAAATAAGTGCCAACATTTTTAGTCATTAAAAGAAACTACTTTTGCCAATTTTTTTTTTTTTGAAAACATTCATATCCGGTGTTCTGTATCCATTAAAATAATGCTAACGAGTCGCTTATGAATTAAAGAAACACCAACGTAATATACGTGACGTTTTATGGAATGATTCACTGTCTTAAAACTTTTCGTTAAAAAAACAGCATAAATTCCCATTTTTGGTGCTTCTTTATTATTAATTAAAGTAAGTGCAAGACTTATGATTGAAGTACGGGTAACGAAAATTTGCAACTTAAAATTTTAAGAGGTTGCTGTTTTAAATTAGGTGCGTGGTTAAAATTTGCGTATATTTCATGCAGGGACACTGTATAAAATTATATTCCGAAAGTAAAGCATTTCAATGTATTTTTTCGTGAGATGAACAGTTTTAAATTTATTTCAGATATATCTCCATTTATTTTATTTCAATAAGTTTTATGTAGAAAACCAATACTAGGATTCTTGTTCATTTAGACTGTTTGGTTTAAAATAACTTAACGAATAACCTTCCGCGGATATGATTTGGACTTAGAAAACATCCTGTATATGACCTGTCATATTTTAAGTTCAACAGAATTATTTTCCCATTAACAAATTGATGATATAAATGCATAAATCTTTTGCAACATATCAGCGAAATTTGTTATGAAATATACAACTAGGTTATTTTATGGTGCAAGTTTCTTAGAAAATCAGTTGAGTACATGATGATCTACTAATTTCTATTCCAAGTGAAAAAGTGTAACACATTTTATTTCTAAGAATGTCTCTTGTAAATCCTGTTGAAGATGACTATCTCTTAATCGCTGGTCTTTCGAATTTCTAAACGAAGAAAAATAAGAACCAATGTTGACATGTATCCAAAATCGAGGATAAAAAATAGTAGAGGAAATTTTCAAAGTTCTCTTGCTTTATTATATTTTATTTAAATAAAATTAAATGAGAAGGATTAAGAAAAATTGTAGAATTATAATCCGTTTGTATTTTGATTTAAAAATACAATGCATTTACTATGCAATGCATGTATGTGAAAATATGACTTGATTTTACATTATATGATTTCTTTTATTTCTTTTAAAAAAATACTAAAAATGTAGATATACAAACTACATCATTTGAGAGCATCTACAAAGCGATAGTCTTTGATCATCCTGTACTATGACGAGGGACAGGGATGATCAAATTAGAACCTTATGTATGGTACTCAACTTTTTTGAGCCACCCAATGTAACACAAAATATTTTTAAAATAGCATTGCTTATGCCCGACGTATGTGGTGACGTCACCAACGAGAATCACGAAATTAAGGCGTATTCGCAAGACAAGGAAGGGGCGACATCTATTATATTAATTTAAAATCACTCCAATAGGAAACTTCTCAGTTCTATTGTTTTATATTTGAGTATTTTTAAGTTTTTTTTATCATATTCTTCAATTGTCTTGCAAGAGTTAAATAATAGTTTATTTTTAATATAGAACAGTACCAAGTCAAAAAGACATTATTTAGTATTGTATTACATCAACATTTTTCTTTCAGAACTTGTATTATTACACTTTTTCAAGGGGAAAAAACGTATAAACATGGAAAATCGTGTTAAAGACTGATAAATAGATAACCAAATATATAACAATCCTAGTTTACAACCAAATATACAACCGCAAATTCTTTTAACTTTCTTAAATTTGTATATTGTAGAGTGCAAATATGCCTTGAATGCCCATATTTTTAACTTGACTAGAACAATTACTACATTTCCAGAGCTGACGAAGCCTAAACTTTACATCATCTCATTGTGCAAAACAGATAACGCTTTTTCAAACTTTAAACAAAATATTTTGACACGGTATTTAAGGTTAGATTAGGTTCGCCATAAGACTTTACATACTTAAACTGAGTTTTTGTGAAAATTACATATCTTACGTATCACGATCAACTTAAATTGTTTGTTTATATTATACTCGTAAGTAATATATGTATGTATTTGCATCAAATCGAATGAGCCATGAAGTCTGCATCTCGTTGCTGACGTCATGCGCCGATAGGACGAAACTGAGTCGGTTAGCGAGCACTATTCATACTACATCTCGACTTCACCAAAAAATATGTAAAAAAATATATATTTTTAACAAATGAATATTTGCTATTGCAGGAACCTAGCGTAATCGTGCGTAATCAGGCCGAATATTCAGAGCAGGCTCCTCATAAGTTAACAGTGGCTCAATTAATCTTCTCTTCACGTAACGTTCACCGTTTTTCGTCTAGCACCCGTACTAGGCTCGAACAAGACGAAAGTAAAAGTGAAACGACAAGCTGGTCTGCTGCATTACTTTTTTTTTACTTCCACCTATGTACGCTTGATTAATCTCAATCCGGGGGATTTTACACCTTTGTTCAAAATCCTTTTAAGACGGCGCCGAACACCATGATCTTAGTTACGTTGCACGTGGTTTTCCGTAGACACCGACGGGTTTTTTCTGGGTTCCTCCTGAGCGCGAGTTCTTCAAGCGGGTGTACGTCGTTTGGTATTTGGAAGAAAACGACACGTGCGACGTTGTTTACATGTAAATCACTGGGTCTTCTTTGGATTTTTATTTAGAAATCGGTTGCAGGAATGGTGTGCCAAAGGAATAAGATGCTAGGAGTGGTTGCCTTTTTACTCCTTGCTTCTATGGTGCTTCTAGCTGAGGCGAACCCAATTGGTATGTCTCATTTTTCTTTAGCAAGGGTGTTACATGACTTTAATATCAAAATAACAACAACAAATATATTTAGATTTCTTTAAATATCGAATTCGTAAAGTTGGAAGTGAAATATTTGTTAAAAGTGACTTTTTTGAAGTAATTATAGGTTTAGGGTAGTCCAAGTTTGAATAGGTAAACTTTATCACTTGTTTCGTAAATTTGTGGTTATTAAAAATACCCATTTTCGTTTTTTTCATCGTTATTGAATCAAATTTAATCATCACTGGGCAATAGGGATTTTGGAAAATATTAGATATATGTACACAGAGAGAAAGCAATATCATATTCAGAAAAATAATAATATGTTTGATTTTACAATAACAATACATACATTCATACAAAAAAAAAATAGAAAAAAATTGCAATATTGTAAGAACTTATTTATTTGTGGTTGGCAAGTGTTTTTTAACCAGTTTCAACGTAAAATCATACATACTAAAAATCGGAGCTCAGAAAAAACACTATCTTGCAAATTATTAAAAGCAAATTCTTCAAATTCCATGTTTGATGCTTCTGATTCCAGAATCCAGAATATGCTCTTGGTCATTTTGAACATATTCGGAACTTTTGTCAGTTTTTAATGGAAATGGCCTGATGATTTTTTATTGATAGTTTTTTTTTCGACGCTCAATTTTTCGGCAAAGGACCCCGCAATAATCTTATGGAAATTGGGTTTCTGTCAAATTGTCTAAATTTTTGATATGTTGTAGATTTTGTCATCCTGAACAAAAGTCTCCATGGGCACAAAGTGCCAAAATGAACATTCTGGCAGCTACGGAGCTGCCAAAGCTCCCCTGACCCGTTGCAAAACTATTCATTTTCAATACTATTTACAGATGTCAAAAGCATATTTTAATTACTCTAATATATAGGGTAATGTTTTTGAGGTCACTGGATTCAACCCTCATGTCAGATTGGACAAATTGACCGGTGACAGCTGTCAACTGTCAATTTTTCCAATCTGGCATGAGAATTGAAATCAGCGACCTCAAGAACCCAAACTCTCAATGTCAACAGAGAATATTTACCTCTCTATTCTTCGTTGACAGTGAATTGACAGCTGTCAACTGTCAATTTTTCCAATCTGAGAATAGAATTGAATTCAGCTCCCTCAAAAGCCCAAACTCTCAATGTGAAAAGAGGATATTTACTTTTATATTCCTCGTTGACAGTCAATTGACAGCTGTCAACTGTCAATTTTGCCAATCTGGCATGAGAATTGAATTCAGTTACCTCAAGAACCCAAACTCTCAATGTCAACAGAGAATATTTACTTTTATATTCCTCGTTGACAGTCAATTGACAGCTGTCAACTGTCAATTTTGCCAATCTGGCATGAGAATTGAATTCAGCTCCCTCAAAAGCCCAAACTCTCAATGTAAAAAGAGAATATTTACTTTTCTATTCTTCGTTGACAGTGTATTGACAGCTGTCAACGGTCAATTTGTCCAATCTGACATGAGGGTTGAATCCAGTGACCTCAAAAACATTACCCTATATATTAGAATAATTAAAATATGCTTTTGACATCTGTAAATAGTATTGAAAATGAATAGTTTTGCAAAGGGTCAGGGGAGCTTTGGCAGCTCCGTAGCTTCCAAAATGTTCATTTTGGCACTTTGTGCCCATGGAGACTTTTGTTCAGGATGACAAAATCTATAACATATCAAAAATTCAGACAATTTGACAGAAACCCAATTTCCATAAGATTATTGCGGGGTCCTTTCGCACCTTTACCTGGTTGATGTACTTTTAAGCCAATTCAGCAAATCCTTTGCCTTTAATTAAACAAATCATTGGACCGAGTTTCAAAAGTCTACTTCAAACATCGTTATTTCAAGTAATATGATTAATTTTTTTTAAGATTAGAACCTGGACTAACCTGCCTTCATTTCTTAATAACAAAATCCGTAAATCAAATACGAACAAGACGTTTCTTTAAATGTACCACTTCTATTATATTGTGGAAAATCAAAAGGAAATAACGCAGACAATTCTAATCGTCGATTAGATGTTGACATGTTTATTTTCCCGCAAGGTTTTTGGAGAAAAACAAGATACTACATTTCTATCAAGGTTTTCAAAAGTAATTAAACATTAATAACCAAAACATTAGTTATTTTAACTTCCTGTTACTGTCATTGGAATTCATGTAGTGTTTGGGCAACTGAAATAGTAATGTTAATTTTACTCATGTATGATTATAGTATTCTCGAGGCATAAAACTGCATTGAATTTTAATATTTACTTAAATAACATGCTATGAGGTAATAGGGCAATTCCATAACAATTTTCAAGACCTTTGTTTGTTCGAAAAATAATTAAACTTGAAAATTATGACTTCATTTCTTATTGACGGATATATGCTTTTGTTTTTTATATTTAGATTCCACTGATGTTGTCATTATGTTGTTTATCCTACATACTATTACCTACTCGCGTTTGATTACAGATTTCATGCAGCAATTTTGGTTTTCACGGTAATCTTTTTGTTGTAGGAGTATGTATAAGGAACTGCGCTCAGTGCAAGAAGATGTTCGGTCCCTATTTCGAAGGTCAGCTTTGTGCAGACGCCTGTGTTAAGTTCAAGGGAAAAATCATACCGGACTGTGAAGACATAGCCTCCATCGCCCCGTTTCTGAACAAGTTCGATTAGTCCTATCAAGTCTGGACATTGGCCGTTTGTACTTACAATATTCTTCTTGTATGTGCCAAGTCAACATTGTATAATTCTTGTATTGTATTTATTATATTTATTGAACAAGATGAGATTTTGGCCATCAGCTTCAGTTTCATAGATTTCGGAAAAGTTTAGGAAAAACAGATTCTGAACGTTTCAAAGTATTAAAAAATGTACCTATCTATTTTACCTGATTTGTAGGCAAATGTAGTTCTGGTCTTAATGCTCATCATTTTTGTTTTGCTGAAAGTTTTTTATGTTTTAATTGACAATACGGGTATTTTTAACATAGTATTATGAGTAAATAACACATAAACATGACAACAACATAAAGTAATTTATCTGTCTGTGATTTTAGTTTTAGTTAAAATGGTATAAATATGTTTACTTTTTTATACATTTATAGGTGGCAGTGAAAATATATTAACATATTAAAGAAATGATTTGAGTATTTTAATAAAAAATAATCTTTTCCGCATGTTCCAATTTTGCTCTAAATTAACAGTATACCCCACAGGGGGAAGATAATACAACAGCAAATTTTGAATTTAGTGTTAAAATATCGTATACCAATCTTAATAAACATTATTTTCAGTGTCGGCTCTTGACTTTCATAACAGGGAGAGCGAAAAAGTTTAGGTATAAAGTATTGAAAAGAAAATGAAAAGTTAAGTATTATTGAAATATAGGGAAAATGTACTCAACATTATTTTTTATAGTGAAAGTCCATTCTGCTGCTTTTGTTCGTAATAGACTTTTCAATTAGTTTTTCATTAAAGTTTGGTATTTCCCGCACCATTGATTTTTTAATAGAAAGCATTGTAAGTGCTATAATCAATTTAAATTTTACAATTTTCTAAAAACACACTACATGTAAGCAACAAAACTGCATAGTAAATATAGGCTATTGATTGTATTTAAAAAACAGGGTTATAGGAACTATGTATGACGTTCAAGCAATTTTATTGCATGAATCGTTGAAAGGGTCATATTAGATGAAAGACCGCGGAGTGCTATTAAATTAGAGGGTGGAAATTGGAGATAGGAGTGAAAATGCACCCCTTCCAGTTTTTTAAATGTAATGTCAAACTTAAATATTTCTTAGATTTTCGTCGTTTTTAACATAATAATGATTATAATTCTTATAATTTTTACAACGAATTGGTTCTTTACTTAATAAAAAATTAATTCAAAAGTTTTATTTGTTAATAATAAATAAAGATTTTCACAACTGTAACTATACGAAACTATGAGAGATTTTTCAAATGAAATTACAGTTTATCATACTACGAGTATATTTCTTTTTTACTATCTCTAATAAGATTTATAATAATATACAAAAATGATTTAATTTAAAAGCTACTTATTAATTATACTCAAATATTGTTTAGAATTTAAAAACATTTAGATTTGTAAAATGATTTAATTTGAAATGAATTTCATTTCTGTTTCATTACAAGTCTACAAGCTCGACTTTTACCGTCACTTTTTACAATTTTTTTTTTCAAATTGTTTATTAACGATTTTTTGCATAAAATTTTCCTTTTAAATTTTTTAAATAAGCCATTTCGATGGAAAATTCAATTCTCTAAATAATTTTTCCTATGAACTATAGCGAAATTTTACTTCGTTTTCGAGCTACAATTAAAAAACTATGTGTATTTTATAAATATACATATATATTTTTCCAAAAATTAAAAAAATGGTGACGTATAAAACTAGGGTGACATATAAAACCTTACCAAAACTGCAAAAATGAAGATACTTGAATTTTGCAAATTGCTTTTGGTTTCTGCATGTTTACACTATGTGTGTACCAAATTTCAAGTCTCAGCAAAACTTCAAACAAATTTGGCAAAGTTTCGAGTTTCAGATGCCGATGGATGTATAAAACCTTATAGAACAAAAAGTTTTGTTCTCCTGATTTTCGACTTTAGCGTAATTATTGTATATATATTGAACTATAGTTTTCGAAAGTTTTATCACTTTTTGTTTATAATTTACATTTTCTCACGGCTTTGTTACTGCAAATTTCGTAATCGGACCACCGCCATTTTGTAGCTATTTTTATTACGAACAAAATCAAGTCCTAAGCATTTTTTCGTACAAAGTCATCCCGCAGAGTTAATTAAAGAAAACTACTAAAAAAAATTTTTTTCACTATTAAATTGTTAATAACTTTTTTTCCTGATAAAATACTTTGTCAGCAAATTAGCGTATTATTGTACTCATCATTTAAAGTAAGCCTGTGTAGTTATTTCCGGGTTATCAAGGTTTGACACAGGCCGAACCTCTACCAACTGGACTATATGTTAAGGATAAAAATGTTATGTAATAGTATATTACGTAATAAGTGTTGTAAAAAGCATTTTACGCACGTATGGAAAAGTTACGCACGACGCCGCGTAGCGGCGAGTGCGTAATTCTATGAGTGCGAAATTGCATTACACCACGTATTACTTTTACATACATACTTTACCTACGCCCACTACTTTAAATACTTAAAAACACATCGTCTGCGATCAATGCAAGATTCCTATTACGTCGTACGGTAAAAAAAACGCACAGCTTGGTAAAAAAATCGTACAGTTTTCCTAGCAACCGCCTAGCAACGGTCAATACAAACAGTATTGTATTGGCTGTCGCTAGGCGGTTGCTAGGAAAACTGTGCGATTTTTTTACCGTACGTAATAGGAATCTTACATTGATCGCAGACGGTGTGTTTTTAAGTATTTACAGTAGTGGTCGTAGGTAAAAGATTAAAAGATTCATATACTTATGCAATATGCATATGTTATGAAAGAGTACCTATAATGCCAGTGCCTATAGTATTCATAAGATATCAACATTGGCTCATAATCTTTATTTTATATTAAAAAAGTTAAAGTTTTATAAGTTTTATTATATTAAGTTTATATTAAAAGTTAAAAAAAGTTTATATTAAGTAAATAACGAGAGATAGTGAGACTATTTAATATAAATATCTTGCTATTTGCTTATATCTATAAATATTAAGGAACAGTTTACAAATACTAAAATCAGTTCCCACCATCAATAGATGTTTTTAACATTTGGTTTGTATGAAAATAAAACATGTCTTTTTAAAATAAATTTATGCAAATAACCCAGGCAGTAATTCAAGAACTTGAACTTCTTTAAGAACTTTACTATTCTTATGCATGAAGGAAATGTATAGATGAAAGGCAGACTATTGACAAATAAACATGGGTACTTGTCCATTTCTATATTTTCACATCTATTTTCAATTACTTTATCCATATTTGCCTAAAAATAAGCATCAACAATCAATTTTATACATAACTTTGATAACTTTTAGATGTGCTAAAGACATAAAATTCCGTTATTTTCTGAATAGAGTTCGTATGTCATGAGGCTCCTCTCCTATCGACGTTGTAGCTAAAATAGTGAATTTTATTAATTATCCCAGTTTAATCTACCAGAAATACCCAATCAAATAAAAAAGGGTATTATGTTTAATGTTGTAGTTCGACTTCTCACAAAATGAAATAATTTTTGTCATTTATCACGAGTATAATCAGATGCTCTAATAGAACATATTATATTCTCTGGCAATACCATCATAAGGTTTCCCCAAAAACACGTACACTTTTTCAAATCCACCCACTTCATTTTTTCAAGTGTTTATATCAATAAAGACAGACGGTCTGTGTTGCCCCTTTTACGAGTGTTATTTTTGTGCCACACAAGAATAATTTTAGCCGTCAGTCTGAAATCTACATCTCCGAGACTGGAAATACCCTCCTTCAGGGTGGATTTCGACCCCCTCGCCGCCCTTGGGTTCAGCACGCGCGAAACGCGAGCGGACGAGTTGAATATGAAACCCTACACGAGTTCTTGCGCCCTAACAAACACCTTATTTTCACCATTCATAATGATATGTTATGATGAATTGCGTCTATAAATAATGAAACCCCATCGGGGCTCTGTATAAATTGGGGAAGTAGGGGGTAGGCATTGTCATACTGTGTTGCCCACTCAATCAGGAAACATCATGGTAAGTGTTTTTCCCAAATTTTACCCATTACGTCCATGCTAAATCCGTTTGGTGTGCGTGCAGTTTCATTTTTTACGGTTTGGTACGGTTGTGATGTTCGCTTTAGTGAAATTTCTTAAACACGAGTTGTAGCTCTTTTGAAATCGATGCCGAAATTTTCCGAATTTCGGACTATAAGTATCTCGTTCGTCTCCCCGAAACGTATCTAGCGAGATCTCATTCACTTTTCTGTTTACCAAAATCATGGGCTAGATCTTTGCCATCTAGAAAGACAATAATGTATTGTTCTGATAAAATTCTTTATTCTTATTTATTTTTAAATTTATATAAAATGTTGTACCCATAAAAAGTAGGTACGTTTTATTCCAAGGTCCGACAGTAAACCGTACATTCCAGGTTCGTACTTTGTTTTCACAGGACGTGATGAAAGTTCATAGAAAATTAATTTTGTACATGTGCAGTCTACTGAACCGAACACTTTTTATTAATTATAATTAACCATGATTGCAACAATTCAACTGTGAACTATATACCTATTATATCGTGTACCCCTTTTTTGCATAAAATTAGATCATAAAAACAAAACAGTAACGAACTATACGTTACATATTTTATGGTAAGTGACAAGCGCTTCCTTTGTATCACTACAATTCCTATTTGTCTATGCGAGAAGGAGAAAGGTCGAAAATGTGGTTACTTTTCTAATTTTGAGTTTTATTAGCATGGGCGTAACTATAATTTTTGCTTAAAAAAAGAGTTCTCGCAATCAGTGACTTACTGATATAAAATTTGAACACGTTTTGATTTGATTCTAAAAAGAACATCACGAAGTAACCAACTTATCTATGTGACAAAGATGATACTATTAGATATTTTTTTCTGGGGTGGGCACCGGGCCTTCTGAGGTGAGCCCATGTTTATGAGGGTACTTAAAATGTCGTACTCAAAACTGTCAATAATATTCTGCACTTTAGAAATTTTTCCATTCATAAATCTTGATGAAAATTACGTGTTTATATCCTGACAGTTGGTTGTGCATATTTTTGTTTCTATGAAAAAATTAAAGACACAATTTCTGAGGTTTGTATCGTATTTTTTAGAGAATAGTTCTTTAAGTAGCATGCGAAACGTTGTTATTTTCATTCGATAAAATAGTTTACACTAATCGTTAAGAAATAAATAATTTTTGTAAACGTTATAAGTGCTATGTTTTCTATGATTCTGCCAAAAAGGATCAATCCAATGATTTTTTTTCCTGCGTCGGTTTTGCATGCTGAAGTTAACAGACATTCTTTAAACTCAATGGTTCAAAAGTTAGCAGCAGAAGGATGTTTCGGTTACATATCAATTTTTAGTATGATAACATCAGAATGAAAGAGTTTGCAGAGTATTTGCGTCAAAACTGAATGTTTTTTTCAAAATGTATGTACTTTTTTTGTATTGTATATTTTTGTGTTTTGTGTGAGAGTATGTCTGTGATTAACTTTATTTAACTAGTATATAAACATAAAAATATACCAGAGAGAACGATGAAATAAAGAGGAAGGTAATCTATTATGAAATACCCTGTACAATTTCTTTTTTGCAGAAGTGTTTCATTGGGCTGTTACTATCAATGATTATTGTGGCAATTAAAGAAGATCTAGCTAATGCATCTCTAGCCGTATGTATTACGTAAGTACTGATTTCTTAAAGAATATTGAAAGAAAATGATTTGAAAGAATAATGCCCGTATTTCATGTCGTGAAACTTAAATACCTACCTATATTGTGCTCTTTGTGAACCTACATTTTTGGCACATATCATTTTATAATATAGGGTTTGATGGGAAATACCACCGAAGTGTTCCATCTACAAGGCTCTACTTGTCACATTAGGGAAAGTGCACTATTATTTTTATTATTACTTATGCATCTTTGTCACTCTATGATGTACCTACATCTATCTAAGGGTTAAGGGAACTCTAGTTCGATTTAAATTTTATATCTCTTTACGTTGGATAGGATGATTACAAAATTTAAATAAAACTGAAAGTGTCAATCAAAAGCGTATACGAGTAGTATCACAGACAATGTAGGTTCGCTACAGACAACGCTTGGAATAGGGCAGCAGTTTTAAATTTCCGAATTGAGTACTTCACCAGCAGAATTTTAGGAAGATTCAAATGCAGCGGCCGGCATTCCTAGACAATGGCAACGTGTATCCTAGCAACGCATAAACAACAGTTTGGCAATGTTGTCACGCGTACGCACGGATTTATTTTGAAATTTTTTTTATCAATGCCTATTTTTTTGCGTTACTGTATTTACTTACTTAAATGTATGATGTGGGTATCGTTAAAAATGTTTTAAAGAAAGAACGAATACCTATGTAGTCAACTTAAGACGATTGGATATTCTGCAGCGGTGTCACACATCATAATTTCGTTAAGTAGCTACTATTTTCATATTTTGGTATTGAAATACTGGAGAAAATATGTTTCCAAATAAACAGATTAATAATGATATTTTAAACAGCTAGTAACATAATTTTTTTAATATTTGATGATGCCATAATTTTTATAAATTATTTAATATACAAGGTGGGTTACTAGTACGTTGCCGAATGTAGGTACAGGGTTTTTGTTTGCATTTTGTAACCACTTACAGGTTTAATCATTACAGATAGAAAAAAACTTTAAATACAAATGTAGAACGCATGAGAAAAAAGGTTTTTGCTTGTAACTCGGAAATGGCTAGAAATATAAAAAATTCCCCCCTAGTTCTGAATATAGCGCTCCATGGGTGGGGGTGAGGCATTGGCAACACAAGATATCAGACAACAGTTTTTGCTTGTACCTCAAAGTAGTACTCAAATAGTACCACTATTTCCGAACATTCTGTATAGTTAAATGCATTAAATTTATTTGTATAACCATTTATTACTTGGCAACAACTGCCCCCTATTACTGAGTAGAAGAGTTACCACGCTAAATTTTATTGCTGGATGTCAGCTTAGAAGAGCCTGCATCCTTTTCGTGTTGCCAATTTCCAGTCTGAAGCGATAAGCTTATCTGTGGTAAATTAACTGCTATGTAATTTACTACGTCGTTAACTAAAATATCAATACTAGAAGAATACCTAACAATATTCTTTGGGTAATATTACCTAAATAAGACGATCCTCTTTAAGGATCTTGTATGTACAATGGAGTAATATTTATCCTTCATAACTTTTATATTACTTAACACAATAAAGACATTTCAACTCTGACAATGGTTTTACTTTTCTAAGTTTCATTTTATTAATCATATTTATGACCCAGACCAAAAACAATTTATGCAAATAAAATACACATCCGTTTGAACGAAAATCGCACCGCGTTTGTCACACCGAAAATACAATCTATGAAAACTATCCAACTTATTGTTTTTCACAGACAAATCAAGCAACAAGCTACGTCAACTGCAATTTTCACTTTTTCCACTAGTTAAATCAACTTCGTCCCTCATCTTCATCTTGGAGAAACCTCTAGTCATAGACCTGAACTCCCTACCTATATACTCTTCGACTTCGTCCTTCTCCCCCTCGCTCCGCCTGCCCAGGATGGGCCTTGGGAAGGGTATCTTGGTGCCGAGTATAGGCCTGGGGCTGTTTGGAGCGCTGCTGGTCTGTCTCACGGACCTCCTAGAGTACCTGGAGCACTGAGGCTCTTTGGAGGAGGGAGATTTGACCTGAGAGGGGGATTTGGTGTTGGAGGCATTCCTTAAGGGTGGGGGGATGTAGATTGGGGCCTCCGGGCTGAGTTCCGATTTCATAAAAGGCCCTGAACCGCTCCGACACTTTTTTGGTTTAGCGACGAAAATGACGTTTCGCGAATTTGATTAGCAATGGTTGCTATTATTTCACGTTATTCGAAAAACGGAGCTTGCATGCTTAGTAACGTTAAGTTGTCTGGTCTTAAAAGACTAGTCTGAATCTGCACACTTTTGCTCGTAAACACACAAATCCAGAAATTATCAAAACTACATTAAAGCCGCTTGCAATCATTTATGTAAAAACATTTTTACAAGTGTGTTTTTGTTTTTTCTCGGGAATGAATAACAAAAGTTTTAAACAAAATTTACCCGCAAAGAAACTAGTGCCAACATGTTTGTTTACAACCACGGACAAATTCAGACTATTGCAATTCTAAATTTTGTATTTTGTATGAGCATAAATGGGCTAATCCTTTCAATTAATATTTTGAAAGGAGTGTCATTCTCAAAAAACTTTTGAATTAGTTAAAAAATTATCTTTTATTCCTTATTTTCTTTTTCCAGAAATTGCGTGCAGTGCAAACAAATGTTTGGGCCATACTTCCAAGGTCGAGCCTGTGGAGATGCTTGCCTAGCAAGTAACGGAAGGGTGACTCCAGACTGCAACAATCCAGGGACGCTTGGGAGCTTCCTCAAACGACTTTACTGACAGTCTGACACTTGATGCTGCCTCCTCATCATGGAAAAAAATTTGATTTCAATTCTAAATTTGATCTCGCCAAATTGTAATGCTCATGTCTACGTTGCCACTAATTTAATTTAATAAAAAAAACAGAAAACACTTTTTGTATATTTATTTTGCAGTATTTTTAGGGAAAAGAAAAGTTGCCTGTTTTGATGCTACCCCTGGACTATAACTCATTTTTTTTATTAGGTTTATGAATTAGAAGTACCTACCTAGGTGTCCATCGAAATTTAAAACTACGCGTAGATAAAGGCTAAACATATTTAGATTTAACTGGTAAATATATTTATTAGGATGTGAAAAAATTGGCCACGTCATGATAATGCTTAATGATAGATAATAAAATTTCCGATTTCAGAAAATAATTCCATGCCTCAGAAATCCAAAATTATTAAACAAATAAATATTTAAATTTCAAAGATAAGAACTGTAGTAAAGAATGTGGAAAATTCAAATATTTATTACAAACGATAAATATGTAGATAGGTACCCATAAACAATTTCACTTATTTGCAAATAAATGTATTTAGAGACCTGTCCTACCGATTTGTTAGTGTAGCAGGTAATTCGCAGTAAAAATTTGAGATTTGTTTTCGTGAAATGCTAATTTCTTAATGCGTATGCTACCTATTGCGATTATTACAGAAACTAACCTTACGAATTAAATGGGATTATAATTTAATTGTAATTTCTATTAAAAATAAGTTAAAGTATAAAATTAAAGAAACAATTTTCTTTTCGATTTACGGATTAATAATAAACGGGCGTAAATATGTCAAATTAAAAAAATATGTATATAAATAAATAACGACAGGGCAAGTACCTACGTAAATTCAACAGTAAAAGAGAGGTACCTACTTAGAATAATAGTCTTTCTTTTCGAATAAATTAAGGTGGAAGCTTCATTTGTTTGTATCTTCAAATATCCCGCCTCCACCTGTCAATGTCGATAATGCAGAATGCGACAATTTCAGTTTTGATGCGAATTGGGAATTGGCGAAGTGGCGAACGGAACAGGTCGAGTTCCATCACCTTGATACGTCTGGCTTGTGTGTTTAGGTTAAATAAATTAATGGTTGAAATAAATACCTCACTTTCTCCTTAATATAAATATCAAAACACCATCATGGTAAGTTTTCTTAAGAAAATAACGGATGTTTGTTTACCATTTCCAATTTATTTGCCCGCTAATTCCCAACACTTAACCTAAATCGACAATGATGAATGATATTTAATACGAGTCCCTTTTGATCTCCAGGATGTATTCTTGATGATCAGACGAAAAAAATTAACGATTTTCACGGATGCCAAGGACACGACCACGGTTTTAGAGCTGAAGAAAATTATAGAAGGTAATTTTGATGTTCTCATTTTGACATTTTTGAAGGTGACTAATTTCATTGATATTTTCTTTAGGAATTCTTAAGATACCGCCACACAACCAACAACTGTTCAATAAGGATAACACGGTAATGGAAGATAGTCACATGCTACAGGATTACGGACTGACTTCGACCACTGCAAAGGCACAGAGCCCTGCCACCGTCGGGCTTGCCATAAGGTTAGTTTTTTCGCTTTCGGGGTTCAATGTAGTGTTTAACATGCCTTGAAATACGATTTTCAGAGACGATAATGGGCCTTTCGAACAACTAGATCTAGTACAATACTCAGTGCCCCCAGATCTGCCGGACGTGATGAAATCGCAGGAGAGCAACGGACAGGAGCAGTCGTCTTGAACTATAACCATAACCTCAATAATTCCGTTTTTACATGTAAGGATTGCCAAGCTGTTTTCTCCTTGGGGAGGATGATTTCGTATTTTAGAGATATCAATTAAAAATAGGTGGGCCCGGATCTGACTCGAGTCTCAAAATGGAAATCATTCGAGAAATGTACTTACAGTTAAGTTTTTCGGAGCGCTAAGTAGAGAAATTTTCCTCCCATTCGGAGAACGCGGCAGTCCTAAACACATCGAACATATTAAGGATTTAACGCGTCTCTTACCAAATAGTTTCTAATTTCATTTCGATGCCAGGTATTAAAAAAAATTCATAAGGAAGAAGTTTGATAACGCAACTAGCTTAATTAATACATTATCGTAAGCGGGGTACACTTATTGTACTTCTTACAAATAAATTCTCTTTGCCAATAGTTTCGAGGATAAATACAGACTGTCTATTATTATTTTTTCGCAATTTAGTTAACATCATTTCATGTACACAGCTTTTAATGGTATTTAAAAGTCTTTTAGGTAATTGAACTGTAACTAGAGTAATTTTTATTTTATTGTTAATGTGATAATATCCCTGGAACTAATTTATTTTTTAAATAAATGTTCTGTATATATAGCTTCAATTTTTTGTTTTTTTTTTCTCACCAGCCGTTATCTTTCAGGAATAATCGATGGTCTGTATCGAAGTAGGATGTTTATTTTTAGCAATGTATCTGCATGTTGCGCAAGCGGTAGTAGAAAATATTATCTTTTCGAACAGTAACTTTTTCCGGATTTAACAGAAATGGAATTTTTTTACAAAAGGATGTTTTCGACATATCTAACTTAAACTAAGGCCTCCTGAGTTTCCTAAGAGCTTTCTTTCATTTGTTTATGTGTACTACACAGTACGGGTGTTTCAGTTCGAGTGAATCAAACTTTATCCACAAAGAGAACACGATGAATAATTCAGAATTGTCTTCGAGAGCAAGGGTCTAAGTAGCACCGTTTTCACTGTACAGGGCCGTATTGGTCGGTTTTTAAAATCATTATGAAATCTTTTTTATGTTTGTAACAAATTGATTCAAATTTGGTGAAGCGTTAACATTTACACATGTACATAATTTACTGTAAAATTAACAAATTTTTGTAGGACAGTGGCGCACTATCAGTCAAACGGCATTTTTTTTATATCAAAATCAAATATCTCTAAGAAGAATTAACAAATCGTTTTACATTTCTTTTTAATTAAAGCTTATTTGATGCAGATTTAGGGAAAATTATTGCGAATGTCATCATCCCCTATTTTGGGGGTGGAAATGAAGGGCGAATAGGTGAAAAAAGTGAAAATCGATTTTCTTCGTTCAAAAATCTTATACATATAATACAGTGAAATTAAGATACATTTTGGTGTAATCAATGCTCAATTGAAACAAGTTAAGGAAAAATTAATGAAAATATTTTCATCCCTATTTTAGGGGTGGACGTGAGGGGTGAGGGTGTGGAAAAATGAAAATTAAAGAAAATATGCATAAAAGGTTTTTGTTGTCGCTGAACACGAATAAAAGCATCACTAAAACAAAAAACTCCTGTTCAGATGACAAGAAAATGGTTTACCATGTTATTTAAGATCGGAGAATTGAAAGACTCTATTTCCAATGAATTTTATTATACAATCCCCCCCTCCCCCCCCCTCAGTTCTTCCCCTAAATCAGGGGATGATAAAAACAGCTCCTGAACAGGATTTTTTGTTTTAGTGATGCTTTTATTCGTGTTCAGTGACAACAAAAACCTTTTATGTATATTTTCTTTAATTTTCATTTTTCCACACCCTCACCCCTCACTTCCATCCCTAAAATAGGGATGAAAATATTTTCATTAATTTTTCCTTAACTTGTTTCAATTGAGCATTGATTGCACCAAAATGTATCTTAATTTCACTGTATTATATGTATAAGATTTTTGAACGAAGAAAATCGATTTTCACTTTTTTCACCTATTCGTCCTTAATTTCCACCCCCAAAATAGGGGATGATGACATTCGCAATAACTTTCACTAAATCTGCATCAAATAAGCTTTAATTTAAAAAAAATGTCAAACGATTCGTTAATTTTTCTTCGAGACATTTGATTTTGAAATAAAAAATGCCGTTTGACTGATAGTATGGCATAGGAATGGGTAGTAGTGGGATTTTTTGACCCCAACTTCTACGCTAATGACCTAATAATCATTTGGGATTCATTTTTAGATTCCATGGACAATTCTACATAAAAAAGGGGCACTAGTTGAAAATCGGTATAATGTATCGTTTTACCGAAAATCTCAGTTGAATGGGAGACCATTCTTCTGATAAGAAATTTAGTTTCGTAAGGACAGGAAATAAATTTCAAATTAATATTATTATAATATCAGGTATTAGCTTAGAATGCAAAACAATATTAAATATGTGTCTACATCGGCAAAACGACCGGTAAATTCTAAATATAATCCCTTGCGTATTATTTATTGCATTCGTAATGTGGTGAATTCCCCCACTGAGTTCATTTTTTTGTTGCGCTACAGTGCGGTGGACAGCGTATTCAATGGCACCTCATTTGTGCTATTCTGAAGCAATTTTAGGGATCCTTACTCATTCAACGATCCGTTTGTTTCAAACAGATATAATTCCTTTAAAAAATTACACCTACATATTAATTTTAAATCTGTGCTGTGCATCCATTACAGTATCCGTACACAACGATTGCCATGAAAAAACAACTAAGCAATAATAGACTTATCTGTCATCAGGAACTGTCATATTATTTTGAAGATTTGAAGTATTAGTTAAGTGTTTCGGTAAAACGATACACTATACCGATTTTCGACAAGTATACTTTTTTTAAGTAGAATTGTCCACGGAATCTAAAAATGAATCCCTAATGGTTATTAGGTGATTGGCATAGAAGTTGGTGTAAAAAAATCTCACTTTAGTACCCATTCCTACTCCACTGACCTACAAAAATTTTTAAAATTTACAGTAAATTATGCACATGTGTAAATGTTAACGCCATACCAAATTTGATTCAATTTGTTATAAGCATACCAAAGATTTCATAAATAATATGATTTTAAAAACCGATCAATACGACCCTGTACAATGAAAACGGTAAGACTCTTACTTTATAAAGCAATTCTGAATTATTTATTGTTCCATTTATGGTTATAGTTTGACTCACCCGAACTGAAACACGCTGTATACTCAGTGTAGCCCATTAAAAACCAGAAACTTCTATTTTTTTTTGTGAATGGAATAGAATATTTTATTTATAAATTGCCATTCATATGGTCGTTGCGCCTTCAAAACACATTTTTTTAGCAAAACGTGTTGAGTGCATAATACGATAAACGAACCAAACCATATAATCTGGTTAAAAACATCTTAATTTTCTACAGAATTGTGACTGTCCACAGTAAAATTAAAAATAATTGTTGTGATTTTTAAATAAAAAAGGCCAAGAAACAGTTTTTTAACTCCACTGAACAATTTGATGAAATAGACATGTTGCATTTTGAAGGCGCAACGACAATATGTACTTATTGAGCCAGTTAACGATGATCCAGCTGGTAATTCAAGGCCTGCTACATTTTTTTTAAAAACCACTAGGACTTTTTTAACAAAAATTCTGTCTTAATTGGTATCACTTAAAATCCCAGTATCTCAAATTTCATGAATAATTTTTTTATACAAAGTTTTAAATTTGTTGTTTTAGTTTTAAAATCTAGAAGGCATTGGAAATAACTGAAGGCAAAAAATTGATCAATAACAGACACTTACAAGTTATAAGCAGATTATTATTTACCAATTACCAATAATTGGTTAATTTTCGGTAACCCCCAACTATTTTCAGTGTCTGCTAGACTTTTATACAGACACTTAATGAGATAAAAAAATATTATTGAGGTTGCTATGCAGTCATTTTTACCAAAAAAATAAAGTGATTGTCACAAAAAGTGCTATTCTAGAAAATCACTTCCAAAAAAATAGCAAGCCTTGGATATTAACTCCATTGTTCGATATGTACATCTAGAAGGTCACTACGTACTCGATGTCCCAGAATTAAGTGCCCAAATTTTAATCTTGTATTTAACCCTTTAAAAACAACTTTTGTCTAATAATTTTTTTTGAAAAATCGCATACTTATCAGGTACTTTGTAACCCGTTATGTTTCATGAAATGATTCACTGTCTTAAAAATTTCTGCTAGAATAAATACTAGCATCAGTTTCTATTTATTAACTAAAAAAAATGTACAATTTTAGGGGATGTTTTGGTTCTTAATGAGCCACACTGTATATTAAAAAAAAATCTGTTGGCTTCACCATTTGTAGAAATATTTCGAAAATAATCAAATCTCGTACTGAAGGAGTGCATGGAAAAATTAAAAATATGTTGCAATATTGTCATAGATCTAGCGACATTTACTCGCATTTAAGATTCAAATACATAAAAAATTGCATAATATTTGTTAATGTTATAATTTGTGTGTAGTGGCATGTCAGATTTTAGATTTGTGTAAAACCTTCTGTAATGCCTTACTGTAACAGGTATATCTTAAAGACATTAACCAATCATCTCGATTAAAAAAAAAATATATAATTAGATTAGTGTTGTGAACATTGTATAAAATTATATAAAGATATCTTCTATATTGCCTTAAATGATACGTCTAATTTTAATAGAATATACCTACTTCAATTCTGATAGCAGTATATTGCATTTTCATGTCAAAAATGTTTTGGGCTTGCGTATTAATATTTGTTTTCAATACATTTTTAACCGTAGAATTAAATTGCGTAGCATAGCTACTAGCTATAGTGATAATTTTGGGATTTATTCAATATGTTTGTAAAATTGCCAACTAAGAGAGCAATTACCCATAGTTTAGGAATTTATCTATTGTAAATTCTTGGTATTTATATTTAATATAGATAAAATAAAAAATACAGATCAATGAGTCTTTTCACTATATCCGATACAAATCACAATTGTTCTGATCTTCATATATGCCAAAATAGTGTTTTTAAATATAATTACTTTGTCACTGTCCGGCAACTGTATTACATAAAACCTCACTTTGTTCTTTAGTCTTTTCATTGTCGTTTGTAGTTTCCGAACTGGAAGTGCTGGTGCTCCTTCTCCATTTTGCTCTTCTGTTTTGAAACCAGGTTTTTACCTGTAAATATATAGGTACTTAATTAATAATTAGAATGTACACAAAAAAATTAGAAGTTTTGGAGCCTCAGATTATCCTAATCCTAGATGACGCCCAAAAACTCGAAAGCGACATGGAGAACAATTTTAGATAATATAAAATTTTGCTAACCAAAAACTTAGTTTACTAAATAGTATTAATAATAAAAATTACCTTTATAGATGACACAAACAAATAAAATTGCAATAAACTTTAAACCACGAATTTTTTTTTAATTATTTTCCTTTGTGTTAGTGAATACTCCTAATAATCAACTAAAAATACGTAGGTACACGAATTCTGAACAGTTTTGTAAGCACAAAAAATATACAATTTTATTATAACGATAATGTAATATAAACTTCATAGAATATAATTTGAAATTTAACGTTAAATTTGGTGCCGCCATCTGCAGATAATTTTTTATACTTTAGAGTCGACTAAGCCTCCTATAGATGGCGCGCAGATAGGTTTAAAATTCGTATTTTGAATTTACCCAAAAAAGAAATTGCGATTTAAATGCTTACGTGATGGTATATTTTGAGTACAAATTCGAAGAAGTATTTCTTCCACTTAACGCTAGTTAAAAGACGAAGAAGAAACGATTTAATAGCTAATTTTAAAGTTTTAATTATAGATATTTATTTAGGTTTGCATTCTTTTACCTGTCTGTCGGATAGTTTGAGATTGTCTGCCAGTCTCTTCCTGTCCTCGGGACTTAAATATTTGTTGGACATGAAGCGTTTTTCCAATATATCCGTCTGATTCGGAGTAAATCGGACTTGGCCACCCTTTCTTTTCGAATAAAGGTTGTATGGTCCAGGGTATATTGTCTGTGAAGGTAAACTATATATTGAATAGAATTTCCTTCCGTAGGCGTATGAACTGTCTGAAAAAAAAAAGATATTTCTTTTTCTAATTATTTCCGTCCAAACTAATTGGCTATGCAATAAATAGTAATAAAGAGGTATTCACGATTTATTTGTTTCTACTTTTGTCCAAAGGATATTATTTTTATACAATAAGTAACCGCTAATAATTTTAAAAAATTGTCTTTATTTAATGAGGAGTTTAATATTCATATATAAAAGATTTCAATAGAGAGCAGAGTGGCGCAGTGGAAGCGTGCTGGGCCCATAACCCAGAGGTCCGTGGATCGAAACCACGCTCTGCTAACACTTTTTTTTTTAAACTTTCACGTTTAAAAATCAGTATTTTATCTTTATTTGGAAATTACATAAAAGAATTAGACAAATCTTTGACCTTATCCTAGTTGTTAGCTTCAAAAGGTATGAATTTGTCCTAATTATGTTAACAATTCAAGACGCTAGTTTTTTGTTTTCAAGGTTGCCTGTGTGCACATGCACAGAACTGTCAATTCAACAACAATGTGGCGGTAGTTAAGCGTCGTAAGAATTTTCGTAAATTTTCGTGTAAAAGAAACATTTTCTTCGTCTAAAACCTAAACTAAAGTGAATACAATACCAACAGTGTTAGTGCGAGGTTCATATTTCTTACAAACCATATTTATTATTAGTGCAAAGTAGTACGGGAGTAATTTCTCCATCAACGTATACTTTAACATCGATTTTAATTTTAGACGATTGATCTTTGGATCTTTTTTGGCTTAAAAGGTAAAGATTTCCGAGATACATGGTGTTGAGGTTTTTAAAAAAAGTCGTTTAAAGTAACATTACCACAACCACAGCCTACCAAAGGCTGTGCCATTACTATGTGCTATTAGCAGGTTAGCACTGTAGGTTATAAAATCCAAGTCAGTGCCTACTCAAATATCTTTGAAGATGTTTAACGTAGATGAATTCAAGTTAGACTGATTGAATTAAATAATAGTAAAAAATCTTATATACAAACTATTTGGAAGAAAAAATCTGTTATGAAATGTTTTTAATTTAAAATTAAACAAAAGTTAATTAATTTAAGTCGTGTTGCGTATAAACTCACTTAAATTTGATTTATTTTGCCTTAAAAATATTTGATTTTTACGCGTACATTTTTCTGAGCTGAAGAAAAACACTGGCTAAAATATGGCTGATTGTGAGAGTGCACCCGTTTTACGCTTTATAAATATAATTAATACAACCCGCTTAATTTTAAGTGTATAGTCAATTTTCTTAGTGTCAACCCATTTACACTCAATCTGGGAAGAAGACAGTCGAGAAGTAGACTACGAAAACCTGGTAAGTCTGTCACCTTCGATTATACCGGGTGATTCACAAATGGTGACCAAAAATAAAACCTCGTATTCTTTGGTGAATTTTATAAAGTTTTTATCTAGGACGCTTCGTTAAAAAGATACAGGGTGTTAAACTTCAAAAAATATTTTTAATTTTTTGAAATAATTTTAAAACTAGTAAGTGAAATAATTTGAAATTGGGCACATGTATTTTTATGTAAGTATTATCCAAAATCTGAGGACTTTTCCTAAAATTTATATGCTCCAGTGGCGGAGATACAGGGTATCGGTGGCAGATTTTTCTAAATAAAATAGTACGCCACTGTTTTACGACAACAACCATGATATTTTCTCTTTTGTCTTTCAATTTTCTACAAATTACTACTAAAAAGATGTCGGGGCTGTGTTCGTGGAAATGGGGGTATTTTTGAGCATTTACTCAAATAAAATCATTAAAATGGTGACTAATGTTAGGTATTAATTTCTTTATTCGAATAAATAACCGAATGATTAGTGCTTGTCATGCATTTAAGTAAAAGTGTTTTCAATTAGTTTTTTAAGTTTTACTCGAAAATCAGGCTTTTTTCGAAAAACATAAAAGAGTAGTAATTTGTAGAAAATTGAAAGATGAATCCGAAAATATGGTTGTTGTCGTATAGCGCTGTGGTGTTCTTTTTTTTTTAGAAATATATACCACCGATACCATGAATCTACGCCATTGGAACATGTAAATTTTAGAAAAAGCCCTCAGATTTTGGACAATGTTTACATAAATACATGTGCCTTATTTCAAATTATTTAAACAAATTAAAAATATTTTTTGAACTCTAACACCCTGTATCTTTTTAACGAAACGTTCTAGATAAAAACTTTATGGGAAAGACTCCTCTTAAAATTCACCAAAGAATACGAGGTCTCATTTTTCGTCACCATTTGTGAAGCACCTTGTATGTTCTTATCCTTTTTTTCTCTCAAGATTTTTAACTTTGAGATTCTCAAAAATTGGATAATAGGGTTGTTGACCAAATTTCAAAAAGTAGATAATATAATTCTGCACGTACTAATTAGTGTGTATGCACAATTAGAGATTGAGAAATGCGTCGGAACAGTTTTTTAAAATAATTATTTAAAACTGATTTTTTTATAATATTTCAAAACGGCTGTGACGTCATAAGGGGCACCTTGTAGTGAAATTATGTGTAGATGATTGCGTAAAGGAAAAAAATTGGCGGAAGAAGATGCTCTGTCAACACTGTCAGTAGTGTCAATCTGCAGTGACATTGTCGCATAAAATATTTTCAAGTCTACGAGTTATCTTCCTTAATCTTCTTATTCCTTTATTAAATAAAATTATTATTTAGTAGTAATCATTTAATATCTTCCTTCCCTTAGAATTAAAGCAGAATGTGTGAAACGGGATTTGTGAAAGCTACTTCGCAAATTTTACCGAAAATTGATATTTTTATGATCATGAATTCAATTTTTAAAAAGAGACGACCGTTTTAATATTGGCGAAATCAGAGGTATAAAAGCAGTCAGGTAAGGATTAACATATTTAATGAATGATTTTATTGTGTTTATTTAAAATATAAATAATAAATATAAATACCTATTTATTTACTGAAAATTATAGTGCAGTTCGGGAGTCTTATGGAGATAATGCAATTGGCTATGTGGAATGTGGAATGTGGAACAAAACACCACTTAAATTTTGTTGAATCCATTACAATCGGGAAATTAATAATAACTATCACAAATACTCTTAATTGATAGACTGCTGTCATTAGTGTCACTACTGTCACTTTTGTTTAAAGAACAGAAAACAGGACAAGGTTTGATGGACAATTTTGATATATTTTCTTCTTCTTCTTCAAAATTATGCAATAGGATCGCTACTAGCTTCTTGTTCAATTGCCCCTTATGACGTCAGACTAATTTTTAAGTAACACAAAAATTCATAAATGATTTCTACCACTAATTTGTCATATATTTAAAATTTTACTAACAGGCAGGTTCTTTTAGGTATATAAAATCTTTGTATCAACAACAATTTGTATATGGTTTGATTTTATAGTCAACAACCCTATTCTCATACAAAATCTCTTCTTTTTATTCGAAAAATTCGAAATTAAGTTTGTTGAAAATTAAAAAACGATACCATATAATTGTTGACAAGTTAGATATTGATTTTAATGGAATTAATTGTTGAGATAGGAAAAAATTGGTCACATAAAATGTTCGACTTAGTCACCGACTTTGGTCAACTTTGGTAAGTGACCGATTTCATAAAATGTGCAGTTCTTCAGAATCTTCCTGTACGTCGAAAACCTTCATATTTAGGCTGTGTTCAGCGTATGGTCGGACTAGTTCGGTCAAATTTCTTTAGTCAAACAATTCTCTGAACGGCCTTTAGTAACTGTATTAAAACCTGCCCAATATCCTCAATCAGCTGATTGGACTGACCAATGAAATATTTGTCCACTGAACGAGTTTGACCGGTCCGACCATTCGCTGAGCACAGCCGACTAATATGATCAAAGAAACATCCTCTTGAAAAGAGCCTTGTTGACCCATCAGATGCCATCTGATGCCTCATCTGGTGTAGTGAGAAACTTTCGGAGTCATTTGATGATTCTTGGTCAGTTGACATCTCTGCGCCCAATCGTTGACGTGACGTGACGGTGCGTAACTTGTAAATGTGTCATAATCTGGATTCAATCAAATAGAATTAGCGAGTATAGGTAGTTGTGGCATTAATTACCGCTCGATTTATCATCCTTGTAATAACTTTTTGACACATTTATCTCCGTTATTCTGGAGCAATGGTCTATTGTGATCGATTGAAAAGTCAATGTTGCACGGTCGGGCGTTGGATTATTGGCCAGATAAAGGAAATTCGACGATTAACCAGCGGATTAGCGATGAGTAAACGGAGAGTTATTAAAAATGGATTTTTAAAGAATAACAGGAGAATTAGTTTCGATGTTCCCAGATAAGCCGCCGATGATTTATTAAGTTATTATTTTCGCAGGTAATGTTTTGTTTTGTTTATCTGCTTCCAAGTACGATTAGCCCGTTTACGCGGTAATTGCAAAATTCTGCCTTTGCTGCTCCAAATTTTGCGTAGTGTACCGGGTGGTTCGCCATAACTGTCATCCTTTATTTTTTGCATTATCATTGGACATATTATGAAAAAATTGTGGGAACCTTTTTAAATCTTTAATAGCAAGGAAGATTTGACCAAACACTGTGGCATAAGACAGTGGCGGTTCGTGGATTTAGAAATGAATTTTCTGGTCATTCTGTACATGCAAAGTGAAAGTTCTCCATTCCAACCGCATTTTAAATACAATATCTCCCTTATTATTAGAGATAGACTTGCCAAATCTCTCATCACTGTAATCTTACTATAACGATTAAAACATTCTATCCAAATAAATGTGTAAATACACAAGAGTTCCATTAAAAAAGAGCATGCAATAGTTGTAGGTTTTTTCCGCTACTGAAAATTGTTCAATAGGTATGAGTTGGAGTTATTACCTACTTATTTTTCCTTTCATCCTTTCAACTTACATCTATCTTTTCTGGATTAGTAAAAATTTAAATATTCAGTGATGGGGATTTCTAACCTTAGTTTTTCATGCTTCGGTTACTTTTTATTTAAAAAATACATTCTATTACCGTTGTTAGAAAAA